TGTATTTCACAGGTTCACTTGATTAATCTGAATATAAATCTTATAATATTGTTATAAGTACCGCGGAACCCGAGCGAGCATCGTCCTTGTGTTATCACCTCGTACCGTCGTCTACTGACCGCAGCTTCCTCTTACAATGATACATGATGGTGTTATGATACGGGACTCCTAGTACACGCTCATATACATATACAGGGTGACTGGTGAATTACTATCGATATTTGAGGACGTGATATTTGACGACCATATATGACAAAATAAAAATTAATATAACATAAATATTAATAAACTTCTGAGTAAAGTTAACCAAAAGTTATGTAATTAATTACGCATCGTATGAACAACCTACAGATTAGGTATACACACACTCACACATACGCGCGCGGCGGCGTGTTGTTGTATCAGCACGCCGCCGCACGCGTCCACACTTGGAACACTTGGAACGTGTACACACTTTATTTATTTATACGGAAATTTGGTCAAAAATTAAGTACCTATTTTTTTACATAATTCGAATGAGAATCATGTACCGAGTATGCTCCTTAAATATTGATAGTAATTCACCAGTCACCCTGTATATATATTTGAGGTCAAGTTACATGATACGTCGCGTTATCAGTCGTGTTTGACCGAACACTTACAGCGAAGTCATCAAATATGTAAAGTTAAAAAGCTTCACGTGAACAAACAATAAGGGTAATATAGAGATTATATATCAGTAGGTAATATTAGTGTCTGTTTTGGAATTTTAAAAATATTGTATCGAAGACAATGAAATCAAACAATCGTAAATGTTTGTCATCTCCATCGATCTGTAGACAGAGTGTCACATGTGTATTGTGTACCAACACTACGAACATTGATATTAGGTTGACTATAACATATCGAATAATTTTATACACTGGACATATAGACCAGTGCCGATAGGTTTTAAAACATTATTAAATTATAGTAGAATGAAACTAATTAGAAAAGGAGGGGAATATTATAAAAATTAAAGGAAAAATAATTTACGGGCGATCTGAGGTCGGGAAGGGTACGGGGATGGGTATTTAAGGGTAAAAAATGGGTTTTCTCGATTTCCGGCAAAACTGAAAGTCCTACGGAAAATTGTTATATGGCAAAGTTGTAGGTAATAAAAAGACCTAAAACTTTTATACTAACATTTTTTTCACATAACCTTAAAATTTATGTGAAAAATTCTAAAAACCAAGTTTTTGGTTTTTAATTTTTATCTCGTACAAAAAACAATATTTTGCCACGAAATTTGGTGAAACCTTTCCTTTTGATGTTACAAATACACTGTAATTTATTTGATTAGAAATATTTATTTTTCAGCTCATTTTGAATAAATATTGAAAACTCAGTGTCATTTTCAATCGAAAAATCACCCGTCAAAATATCAGTGTTTTTCAAAAATTTGGTGTGTTTTCTGTTCGTTAAAATCTCTATTTTTCGATGGTGAAGAAAAAATGTAAGTTAAGTAAGTAAGAAAAAAATAAATTAAAAGAGCAGTTTCCAAACGATATCGAGTGTCATTTCATTAAAAGGGACATGATTATTTCATCCAAAAATGGTACTGCAAGTAAGAAAATGAGACTGATTTTTCAATATTTATTGAAAATTAGCTGAAAAGATAAATATTTCTAATCAAATAAATTACAGTGTATTTGTAACATCAAAAGGAAAGGTTTCACCAAATTTCGTGACAAAATATTGTTTTTTGTAAAGGATAAAAATAAAAAACCAAAAACTTGGTTTTACGAATTTTTCACATAAATTTTGAGGTTATATGAAAAAAATGTTAGAATAAAAGTTTTAGGCCTTTTTATTACCTACAACTTTGCCATATAACATATTTCCGTAGGACTTTTATTTTTGCCGGAAATCGAGAAAACCCATTTTTTACCCTTAAATACCCATCCCCGTACCCTTCCCGACCTCAGATCGCCCGTAAATTATTTTCCCTTTAATTTTTATAATATTCCTCTCCTTTTCTAATGAGTTTCATTCTACTGTAATTTATTTTCACTTTTCATTAATTTTAAAGGCTTCTGCACTGGCCTAATATCCAACATTATCCTGTATATTTTGTATTATATATTTTCCAGCGTATGAAATATGTCGAGCGGCGGCGGGGGCGAGTGAGTCATGAGAATGACGTCACACTACAGCCTACAGTAAGGAGGTCGCATGAACAACTTTTGAATGCACTAACCAGTAACAAGAACCCGGAGTCAACTAAGCTCTCAGAATACGATGTCATTTACGGAATGTTCGATAATATTTTTCATATTAAATATTTATCGTAGTTAAATATATTCTCACTCGATGTTTTTAACAGACTACTAGCGGATAAGACACAAACTTCATTCCCATGTATGTAAAACATGAACACTCATATTGTTGTAGGTGTGATGTCTCTAACGCTTTGACCTACTGCTCTGAACACACAAGGCTTCCGATTCTTTACGACGTCTTTTAAAAGAATTCAAGACGTCCTCACAATGTTTAACTCTAGATTGGGACTTTTACATCCGAAACGAGACTGATTAAAAAAATACATATTCAAAATCTAACGGCCATACACTACATAATACATATGTGTCAGAATTGTAATTTGAGAATGTTTGTACAACCTACGAATAGAATTTGAAGGAGAGCTGACCAGATTTTGTCAACTCAAGCTATCTCAAGCTATATCTAGTACAAAATTGACTGTGGTTCTCAAATATTTCTGCCCTGAAGATACCATTTGGCTTACAAAATTAAACCTGGAGATCCTAAGCAAATACAAGACGAAGCCATATCATAAAAACAAGTGACATTTTCTTGAACCTTATGGATGTCGCAAACTACTTGGCCATAAAAAAATTAAGAGTGGAAAGAAATAAGGTTACATGTGTTGAACTATAAGACCCTGTACAGACTAGAGAGAGAGCCAACAACTGACGACTAATGATCGTAATTTAAATAAATGATCATGTTATAAAATGAAGCAACGAGCTCCGCGCGACACACGGGGACGTGAAACAGGAAAACCAGTCACCTTATACAAATGTCGTAAAGAAATATTTCTCAGGATAGTAACAGGAAGAGACCAGTAGAAAATTATAGTTGTAACATTATAAAAACAAATGTATGTATATGTATATGTATATTTAAAAATTTATCTCAGTGGTTATTGGCGACGTCAACCCTCTCTGTGTGTTGTCTGTATGAGATTCATTAGACCGTAACAAAATTATTTTGTAAGAAACTTAACATAAACACTAAAAGTCTTCTTCACATTATGTATTTTCTGTGCAGTGTGTATCGACTACCGCACTGCTCGACTTCCTATAAAGCATAAAAACAATTGATCCAATAATAATAAAAACTAGCAATACTCTGATATATTATACTCGCTAGTGTTATTGTTATAGATGAAATACTTTAGAGGGGTTGTAGTTGTAATGGTCATGAGGAAAACAACAAATAAACAGTGACGAACTTATAATGTGTTTATATAGTCAAGCAATTGTTTAAGAATAAATTCACTGAAATATTAATCACAATGAACACAATTAATGAATTATAAACTTGCTCGTTATATCTTAATGGAGCGAGCCATTACCTCTTTGTTTAAAAGGTTGTTTTGTATTTGTATTGTTACAAAAGAGTTGGCCAGAGGTCGTCTCAGAGATCATCTTCTGTTGTATGTGGAAGGTAGAGAGGTGTAACATGGCGGCCTATACCAACAGACATTACTCATGGTTAAAGTATAGGTTCAGACTCATAGGACTCTGTAAACCCTAACTGAGGTCTACATGATATGTGACATGCATCACTGACCTGCAATGGCTCCCGTGACAACTAACCATGAGTGTAAGTAACATACATAGGATGAAGATGTGAGGTCAATGAACTGTGATATGTCATCAAGATAATACATATATCAACATTGATGGGGATTTATTAGACCGACCTGTCCACAGACAGGATCGGAGTTGACACAGGATGTCATTCATACAACACAAAATAAGACACACACAGAGGTTGATAGAATACTTAATGTGATCATCACAGACACACAGACATAAGGCAACTAGAAAAAGAATTGAACATAGAAGTTGTTCAAACAACTTTTTATCATTATCATAAAGGGGTTTTACCACTCTGTTGATTGTTGAGTGGTAAACATCTTGTAGAAATGTAATCATCTACATGATTCACACATTACAATAAACAGAACAAACACACTCAAGAATCCTATCACTTAAACAATAAAATATGCAGCCCCACTTCATACATTTCACCTTACTTGATGTTTATAACAAGTGGGACAGTTCTAGGAAGATATATAAATACATTATGAAATTAATGTTCATTGTTAATGTGGTAGAAGCCTTGTGTTATCTAGAATGAGATCATTTATTTATTGTACATATAATTTAACAATTGAAAGCACACTAATTAAGATAAATATATTTTTTGTAACAAATATGACTTGTTTTATTTTTTATTTTAATATTTATTGTTCTCAACATTTTATATTCATCACTAAATCATTATGTAATCTGATGAATTTAATATCTCATTCATTTCTTTTTTTAAAATATACAGATTTAATTATTAAAGATTCATATCAGAACAAAGGTGAGGAAATGTTTTAGGCCTTCTAATAGTGTGCAATGATTGTGCAAATGTCAGCATTCTAAGTATTTAGATTGACTTAACTTTTAATGATGTGAGCTTCATTTGTTTGTCAGTGGTTATTATTACATACAAGTATCTACATCGCAGATCAGTGGACTGTACTGTGTTTCATAAATATCAACAGTCCACTAGTTCACCTTGTCACTTTCTATACTTGCCAAATGTCTTATTAAGCAATGTAATATTATATTGTTACAACAAGGTATTGATAACTAAGAGAACGAAAAGTAGTCCAGTGGATGGTATTTAAATTAATATTTATTAAAAATTTAAAAGACTGTTAGGAAATCGTCTGGACTGACCTTCAGGATACGCCTGTTTGTTAGCGATGAAGTCTATGATGGTGTAAGTTGAGTTGTAGAGGTGTCCCATGGCCCGCATGTCCACCTCCACCCGCGCCATGTACGTCACGTTGATGATGGGCCTGGAGTAGTTCACCTCCGACATCCGCATCACATTAGAAGTGCCCTCACGAAAGTGATCCGTGATATTGGACAGCCACGTCTGGCCCGACGCTAGGCCCACTAGGGCCACTAAGGCCACGGCTACTGAAGCCTTCCACATCTTTATAATATATATGATCACAGCATCACACACAACATAGCTTCACACTCATTATCGGGATAGCACTCGATCTAATTACTTTACAATACTCAGGTAAACTATATGTTTGCAAAACAAACGTACAAAGATACCCGCTCACAAAACATAAATAAACACTGTAATATTGAATACTACACGATAACCGTTGATTATTTCTCGATGTTATTAACGCTTTTAGTCATCTTGTTTTACAAAATATTTTCTTTGTCATTTAATAAAATTAAATTGACTTACAGTACAGCTCTCGCAATGGGCGAAACGGTGAATGAGTAGATATTCTATGGACTATGGAGACTGCAGTTGAGTTTGAATGAATAAAGATTGATTTAAATGTTGTCAAAGATAAAGCTACACTAGCGACACCAACCTCATTCGTTCATTTGATACTTGCCACATTAAAAAAATCAAAGAATTGAATAGAACATCAATCGGTATAATTTAATAATATATAGTTTAACTCTAATTAAAAGTTAAAAATATGTAACGAGCAAATAAAAAAAAATCAGTGGGCTTAAGACTATATGACTGAAGTAAAACTTCTTTCGCTCCATCTATATGTAATATGTAATATCTGGTTACCGAGCTTTGCTCGGTATTTAAGGATAATTAGTATATTTTATTTTATGGTTTTTTTTTTAATATATCGTAATCACAGGGAACAGACGATTATTAATATTTTTTTTCCTACCAAATATGCTTACCAAAGGACAGGGCCGCTCCAACCCCAGACAGCGCCTGTGGGCGGTACCTATGCAGCGCCTCTTTTTTAAAGAATCTCCATAAAAAACGAATTTCATTTTTTTACGATTATTATTAATTGTTAATTTTGAGCGAAAAAAATGTTATCCTGTTTAACAGTACCTACATAATATGATCACTAATATCTAAGTGTACAAAACTAGAGAACATTTGGGAATTGAGATACTATATAGGTAAATCCCGTTCGCTTCTGCTTGCCAATTACTATGAAAAATAAAGCTCGAACTAAATTTTTACATATTGGTATCATTGGTAATTAATACAATGAATTTTATCTTTAATTTATGGTTTGGTCTCCTTCTTACTATGTGCATTCAGATAGCATTGAAAAAATACAACGAAAATTTGTAAAAGTATTAACTTATCGAAACAATCGCCATAGACAAATTAAAAGCTACAAAGATCGTCTAATAGAATTCAATATGACCCCATTAAGTACTCGTCGACAGCAGCAGGACTTGATCACACTCCACAAAATCATACATTCAAATTTGGATTCTTCTGCTTTGCTCGGGAACATAAATATTAGGTAATACGAGGTACAACTGCCGCAAGCCAAAAACATTTTCTTTAAAAGTTTTTAAAAACAATACTTCTTTTTATAATCCGGGTATCAGAATGTGCCGTCTTTATAATGAAATAAATAATAATAATAATCATGAAATTGATATTTTTAACACAAATCAAGCCATCTTTGTAAAAACTGTAAAAAAAATGTCTATCTTAAAAATTAAATCTTGTAAATTTAAAAAACTGTAATTATTAACAATTTATATTTCTTTTGTATTTTTTTTTTGTAACTTAAAACAAAAATTGTTTATTATACCATTTATTTTTCTTCTTGTAAATTTAATTCGTGTAACTTTATTTTTGTCTTTTTTCTTTGTTTAGTACTAATATATAGTTATCTCCTGTATAATAATTGGCAATCCCGTCATGTTGTGCATGCACCCTTAGGGTCATAATCTGTTCGATGCTATTAATGTTTAAGAAATATTCTGTATGTGATTGTGACCTGTTGTGTTTGCCTTAATAAATAAATAAATAAATAATAACTAGCTTTTGCCCGCGACTTCGTCCGCGTGGAATAGTGACTTCCGGCAGATTTTTGGTTTTTCCCACATAGTTCCCGTTCTTGCGGAATTTTCGGAATGGTCGAGTTCCCGCAGAATTTTCAGGATAAAACCTATGTTTTTTTTTTCGAGTTCCAAACTATATCTACAATTTTTACAGTAAATTTAATTATTTTAAAGAACTTCTGCATATACTAAAAAAATGTGTTATTATTGTAAAACTAAATACTATCGTAAAACAAATAAAGTACCTACTATATAGAAAACTATTACAAAATGAAACTGTGTTTAAAAAGTAATATTACGATGATAATTATATCGCATAAACAAATTAGCGCTGCATTCAACCGGCTTGCCCGCAAGCACCGCCTCTCTCCCGCCGCGCCGGCCAGCGCAGAGAGCGAGTTGGTTTTGTTTCGGAGTTATTTATCATTGTAATCTTTAAAGTTTTTTGTTGAAATTAAGTTATGTCAAAGAAAATTTTATTCACAATAGACATTGCACGCACATGCGCAGTTCAGCTACGCACAATCACCATCGCGACGCGATGCAGCGAAACGCTTAGTTAATTTTTAAGTTACCCAAATTTTTAAACTCGCTATATCTTTTGAATGGACTATCCGATTAAAATAATTTAAACAGCAATATAAAGGTAATGAACTACTGTTAAATAAAAAGTAAGTTATTTAGATAAGTATAAATACCATGGTATGAATATCGACATCTTATTTTCGTTGCCGATTTAAATAGTTTGTTGAACTATAAAAGTTTTTATATTGGCGTAACTATAATATTTAGATATACACTACCGCGAACTTTCCTGTAGATAATAATACGGTCAACAAAATCGTAGTACATTATTTTGCTCCATCATCAATAGTTATTGCAGCGCACGCGATTTAAGGTATTTCAATAGTGATTTTTATCGACCGTGGTTTATGTTATTGAAGTTTTCGCAAGGATCCCTATTTTTTTCAAAATAAAATATAGCCTATGTTACTTTGGAAAGATGTACAATCATAATGGTGAAAGAATTTTTAATATCGGTCCAGTAGGTTTTGAGCCTATTAGTAACAAACAAACAAACAAAAAAATATTACCTCTTTATAATATTATAGTTTAGACAAAGAAGCTGACTTTTTTCTAATAATAATAATACTAACATGACTATGCTAAGTTAAAAAAACAACAAGAGTCTAACATTTGTAAGAATATAAACATACTTAAATTATAATATTTCCACTTTTCTCGCTTTTTTGTTTGCGAAATCCTTAATAGTTTCATGTATGTCTATGGTCTAGTATGGCCTCCTCAATGGATATTGTTGCTAAATTTGTTAATCTTTCCTGACTCATTGTGGAGCGCATGTTTCAATTTAGAAAAGGACCTTCCCGCGTTTGCTACTGTAACTGGCATAGTCAGCATAATACGTATTATGCTATGTAAATATTAGGGGATACAGCTGTCAAATTGTTTAAGTATATAAATTCAAGAATTTTCACCAAATCATTATTGTTTTTTTTAATGGCTGACATGACATAATTTCGTCACACAAATCATCGCCGTTACTATCCAATGAATCATTTGCTTAAAAATTTCTCCTCTAAACGACGACAGCTATCTATATATATATAAAAGAAAGTCGTGTTGGTTACTCCACTTATAACTCAAGAACGGCTGAACCGATTTAGCTAAAAATTGGCAGGGAGGTAGTTTAGAGCCAGGAAATTGCAATAGAATACTTTTTATCCCGTTCGACAGCAGTCCCGTGGGACTTGACATGAAACGTCAGTCACTATAAAACGTGGAATAACGAAACACAATTGACAGCTATGCAATTGACGTATAATGACAGATATGTAATGACGTAATGATGACAATTAGATATTTGTAAATTGTAAGAGAACTACTATATAAAAATAAGTCTGGTTTTCCATCCTGACGCTATAACTTCAGAACGAAAGATCCAAGAAAAGGGGGAACATTTTTGTCACATACAGGGCCATCATACATAACATGTACTACAAATCAATATTTTAAGTACTTAGATGGTGTCGTCGCATGATACATTGTTTGACAGCTACTCATTGTTCTCTTCTCAGTTAATTTCATGTGGCAAACCGGTATTGTGTTTGTAGTTTGAACTCTTAAAACCATTTAGTATTTGCGGGATAAATTTAGAAAATCATTGTTTTTCACATGGGCAGTTATATTTTGCGTGTTCACGAGTTTGGAAACCATATTCTTTATTTGTGTTAAAGTTAGACCAAAAAACAAAAAATGTGGTTTACAAAGGAGCACTTCAATGAAACGGATAATTTGCGGACCCGTATAACGCTTCGATTCGGTATCTATGTACTTTGGATTCACTTTCATTTACTTAGAGAAGTTCAACTAAATAACACTTCATTTTTGTAATCGAAATGAATTCATTACTGTTGTGAAATGAAATAAAAATTTTCCTTTTCAAATATAAAACAAAAAAATTCTTCATCTTTTAATCACCAAACGAAATGTTATACAGGGTGACTGGTGAATTACTATCGATACTTGAGGACGTGATATTTGACGATCATATATGACAAAATAAAAATTAATAATATAAATATTAAGAAACTTCTAAGAAAAGTTAACCAAAAGTTGTGGAATTAATTACGCATTGTGTGAACACCCTACAGATTAGGTATACACACACACACACACACGCGTGCGGTGGCGTTGTGTTGTATCAGCACGCCGCCGCACGCGTCCACACTTAGAACACTTGGAACGTATCCACACTTTATTTATTTATACGGAAATTTGGTCAAAAATTAAGTACCTATTTTTATTACACAATTCGAATGAGAATCATGTACCGAGTATTCTCCTTAAATATTGATAGTAATTCACCAGTCATCCTGTATAAAAGCCTTCTGGTGGCGAAACGGAGTTCGCCGGGTTTACTAGTTCTTAATAGTCTTTGATCTTGCTCATCACTTACATTAAATAGAAAATTAAACACGTTATTGTAGTTATTCAATAAATTAAATCTTTCATCTACGGAAGATTACGCTTGGTCTAATATATATATAAAAAAATAAGAGGTTTTCGGATCATTTATAGTGTGGTCTTCATGTTCATAATCAAAACTTTCTGGAGTTTTACGACGTCTTAGGGGTCTGGAACTGGAACTTTCAAATTCAGTCTCAACGTCTAATTTTTCGGTAATTTTTTTGGCATCACTTACATACAATTTCTTCAAAATTTATGTCTATTCTAATTTTTAGCAAAAACTTTTTAAATTCTGTTAAAGCATCTAAAGCAACTTGCATATTCATATCGACGGACTGCAAAATTTTACTCACAAAATTTACTTTTGTCAATATTATATGCCATATATTTAGTGAACAAATGAATGAAAAGGTGCATATTTTTCTGCTAAACATTTAGCGTCATATTTTGTCTTCTGATCATATGATATATCATTTAATATTTCATAAAGGGCATCTAAATTTCAGGTAAATTTGTAAACAGCGGTTTTATGGCGTCAATTCTGCTTGACCATCTTGTTTCAGACAATGGTTTTAAGGTCAGATTTATGACATATTTTTTTAATAAATCCCATCTTTTAGCACATGACGAAAAATATTTATATAATTCATGCACAATACAAAAAAATCCAGTCGTATGATGATGGAGGTTGGCAGCGTCGCGGTCGTTTACTATTAAAAAACACAATAATTTAGGAGGCAGTGACAGTTATTACTATTCGCCTATAGATGTCGGGAAGAGTCATATTTTAAACGGCTACTTTTTGTATTTTTTTTAAGTTTGCTCAAATTATTTAGGATTTATTCTTTAAGATCAAAAGCGCAAAGTTCTGATTTTTAATAAATTTTTAAGTCTTTGATTTCCGCCTGATGAAGTGACAGAATTGTAACATGACCCGGAAATAAGTTATATTATTTTATATTAATAAATATTTTACTCTTAATTTTGTTAAAATATGTTTCGATTTTTATTAAAGCGTATGTCCACATTAAATAAAAAACATAATTGTGTACTTTTTGAAAGTATTCAACCATAAGTTCATTTTCATTTATAAATGGGAAGGCCAGAGGAGTATACATTTTTAACTATTTTAAATTATATAATTGGTCTTTGTGGGCCATAAAATAATAAAATGCCATATTCTTTATTGTTTAAGCATAGAGAGACAATGATATAGTAAGTTTTACATAAAAAATTTCTATAGACAAATGGAATTCAAATAGCGTATAAATAAATAATTAATTTCTTAGTTTAACCTTAAAACAAACACTCGTTGGCTTCGTGGTACTTAACAACGCCATCTGCTGTTGTGTCGTTAAATCAATTAGTAAAAGCAATTAGCAAAAAGTAGTATTACTATTCGCCAATAGATGTCAGGAAGTGTCATATTTTAAACGAGTCTTTTTGTATTTTTTTAAATAAAATAACATTTTCTAAAAGTGATTCCTAGCTAGATCGATTTATCATCAATCGGTAATTTGTATACAATTGACGTGCCCCACGCTTTTATTTTAGTCTAGTCTGTGCATATGTTTATAATTCCCACGACTGTATCTATTTTATTATTTTTTGGTTTTTAGTACATTTATCTTAAACATTGCAATGTATGTTTCACGTAAAACCGTTTAACTTAAAAAGTTTTTTTACCTATTTTTATTTTCTAGTTTTTAGTTTTTATTTCGCATTCTGTTTATTTCATTTGTGTTTCATTATGGCAAGGATTCTTGCCCGTTAGTTTATTGCAGTCCAACTCCTCTAAAAAATTGTTATCAACCATTTGGTAGCGGCAGCCATCTTAGATTTCAATTTTACATAGTAAATTGTATTCTACTTGTTGAGACCTTCCATTTGATACCCATGTTGATGGGATTGATATAACCTACGTTATCCGCCATTTTGTAGCGGCCGCCATCTTGGATTTCAATTTTTTATAGTACATTGTATTTTACTGGTTGAGCACTTTTAATTGATACCCAAATTGATGGGATTGATAAAACCTACGTTATCCGCCATTTTGTAGGGGCGGCCATCTTGAATTTGTAATGATAATGAATAAACATAATTGTATTGTCACCAAAATCCAAAGTGTATACAAAATTTCAGATTAATCGGTTGACAAGAAGAGGGTGAAATTTGAATTATTAAATTTGACCCAAGAAAAAAGAATAAAACAAACAGGGTGAGCTAAATAAAACCGTTTAAAAAGGGACTCCATGCTACGGAACAATATTCTAATTTACTTCTTTTAAACGAATTAAATAATGTTATTATAAATTAAAGGCTTTTGTACTTCTTTTTATGAATCCTAATATTTCAAATGTTTTACTGGCCAATTCGTCTACATGTGGAATAAAGCTCATTTTAGAGTCAACAGTTAGATATACCTAAATCTTTTATTTGGTTAACTCTATTTAAAATAGATTCCTTTATCTTGTAGTCATAAATAATATTGGATGTTTTTCGGCTGAAAGTTAAGATGTAACATTTGCTTTGATTTAAATTCATATGATTTTCGCTACACCACTTTGTAAATCTCTCTAAGTCTAACTGTAGCAATCCGGAATCCTGTAAACTATTTATATTCCTATAAAAATTCAGGTCATCTGCATAATATTCAATTTTACTATGATGAAACCAATTTACCACATCGTTTATAAAAATACCAAATAATATGGGACTAGTACACGAACCAATTATATAGTAATATAATTTGTCAAAAAAAACCTATAAGGGACATTTTTAAACGCAACCTTAGCAAAATCGATACAACAAGTATTTATGTTAAATATCTCCAAAAGGTTATTTTTTTTTTGTCTTAATGTGTTTTTGTCCCAAGAGACAACACGCGGACATATGACTTGATTCATACAGTCAGTTGTCAGTTCGTCCATACGTTATACAAGTCTAAGGAGAGGTGAGGAAAGGCGAGCTTTAACAAGTAGGAGGAGACTACAAGAGAATAAACATACAGTAGTTTATTTACAAGTTACAGGTAACAAAAACGACACTGCTACATAGTAATAACTTTTTATTAATAAAATATTTATTTTATATTTCTATACATAACATGCGTCAATTAATACGATATAGAAAGGAAACCAGTATATTACAAAAAAGGAAGTTTAAACATAATTTAAGTAAAATTACTGTTTTATTATTATTAACTGAGGTAGAACATCGTCTTCTACTTTTCGATATAACTTTCTTCACACCTCCGCCTCCCCGAGCAGCGCCCCCCCCTCGTCCCTCGTCTCGGGAGGTGGTGACGTCACAAGCAGCCAGCTCGGGTCCAGGCCCGCCACCAGTCGCAGGTCCGCCTCCACCTCACGGTTCGCGTTATAGAACACAACCTCACACCCGGACGACTCCAGCTCAGAGATTAACCGCTCCAGGACCTGCGGGTGGAGGACTGGTACAGACGGAACAAGGGAGAGACCGGCCGGACTGAGAACTGACAGAGACACTCACCCCGCGGGCGGTGTAGTCCAGTAACACGAGGGAGCCGCAGTCGAACAACACGCGGCGGAGCGGAGGACACGAGGACAGCGAGGAACGGACCACGTCCGCCGCGCGCTCCGCGTTCACGAACACGAGCGAGCGGCGGGGACGGACCAGCAGCCACGAGCCGCGCCGACACACGAGCGGGCCCGGACACGCGGACCACAGCAGGCTGGCCGCCGAGCACAGCGCGCCGCCCGCCACCGCGCCGCCCACACCCGCCCACACACAACACACGCACGTCACCACCACCACCACCGCCTCCCAGCGACACGAGCGCCACGCGCGGGACACCGCGGACACGTCGATCTGTGGACGACCAGCACATGTAGACCCGCGGCGACCTGCACCCGGCGGGCACGGGCGGCACTCACCATGAACACGACGGCGCAGATGAGGACGGACGACAGGCAGGCGCGGGGGATGAACGAGAAGTACTCGGTCAGGTACACCAGGGACAGCAGCGTCACGGCTCCTGGAACACACACGTGACAGAGACGGCCTGGAGACGAGGCACGGACGAGGAGGCGCGCTCACCCGAGTACAGGCCGGCCGCCGGGGTCCGCACGCCTGACGCCTGGCTCACGGCCGAGCGGGTGAAGGCGCCGCACGAGGGCAGCCCGCGGACCAGAGACGACACCAGGTTACACACGCCTAGAGACAACATCTCCTGGGTGGCGTCCACACGAGCACCCGCCGCTGGGGACGAGAGACGGACGGTGAGACACAGGGGGAGGGGGGGGGGTGTAATAAATATAATGTGTATGATATATTATAGAATTAAGTCTAGTGTAAAGTCTCCTTTATAAAACATCTCATGTATACATCCGAATATGGTGGACCACCCATTGGCCCAAGCTTTTTTTATGTTATGTTAAAATGTTCTAATATTATTAAATGTGACTTAAAGCTACAAAGACGTTTCTTTTCAAACCCAGTAATTAACCACATTAGAGGGGGGATGGAGGGAGCGAGACTCACCGAAAGCCTTGGCGATAGCAATGTTAGCCATGACCATGATGAAGGGCAGCAGCAGCACGTGGTGTCCCAGGCGGCGCGTCAGCTCCACGAAGCCCAGCGTCTCGTTACCGATACGAGTACTGAAGGGAGGCAGACCGAGCTTCGGAAGGCCCGGCTCCACTTTTCCTACAATATATTTGTGGTTATTTATCATTAGAAACTCGGAAAGTAATAGAAACTAAATTGAATAGACAGTCACCTGACAGTAAGAACAGAGGCTGCTGCTGGTCGTACGTGTAGTAGGCGACTGTGGAGGCAGCCAGCACCACGAGCGCGTTGCGGGCGATCGATACGAGCCAGAGCACCTTCTTCAACTTCGGCTTCTTAGGACTCACCGGCAGGTCCTTGAGCTTCTGCAATGTGTAAGTATAGTTGTCAAATAAATATTTATAAAAATAAAAATTTATAAAAATAAAAATTTTATTGTTTAAATCAGTTTGTACAGCAATAGGTAGCAACAGGAATTTTGAAGTAGGTTTAACCTGTATCTCAATACCCGCTCTTCCTCCTGGATATACATATATATATCGAAACATACAATTATAAACTAACAAATATTTAACTTATTTTTAAGATTAAGGATGGAAATGGAAAACATTTTACATGTGTGTGTGTGTGTGTATTATACATAATTTTATTTTTACACCTATTTACTTTTTTTTATTAATTAATATGAATATTTATATTAATATTATTATTTCTTACGTTTGTACAGTTAACAATTTTTCAGTAGCATGATAGTCTAAAGTATAAAGCCAATTAGTTAATGTTTGTTTACACTGATGATATTGAAGGTCATAAATGTTAATAATCATATTTATTTTATTATAAAGGAAGGAAGACTGTTTGTTGTATTGTCTGTTAGCAAATTGTGTGTTGCAATGTTGTAAATTAATTACTGCACGATTTCGTCTTCTATTCTTGTCTGGTTTATTATATGTTGCGCATCCATACGTTTTAAAGAACATTACTTTTAATAATGATCTGTGGGCTCTTTCTAAGTGAATAAGTTGGGTTTTGCAGGTACCTCCCCAGACCGGGATACAATACGTAAGAATTCACTGTCCGAGAGCCAAGTGTACTGATTTTAACAGAACGGGTTGTAGAGTTGTAGAACGCAGTTTTTTAAAAACCCAAATTAGATTTCTTGTCCTTTTTATTAAATTATCTATTTGTTTATACCAAATGAGATGTTGATCAATTATAACACCTAGATATAATTATTCTGTTACTCTTTCGATATCTAGACAACTAGTTATTAATATATGGATAGGAGCATGTATGGCATTATATTTGAAAGTTTTGTAGGGGTTGGGATGGTTTTCTAATCGTAAAAGTTAGATACTTAGTTTTAGTCACATTCAAAGTTAATAGATGCTGATTTAACCAATGGGTTATTATGTTTAGACCTTTCTCAGCAAATAATTTTGTTTCTTCCCAGGAGTTACCATTAAAGATCAAAGCTGTGTCATCTGCATAAGAGTAGTTTTTACAATTATTAATTTTTAGCATTGATAAGTCGTTAATAAATATTAAAAATAGAGTCGGCCCAAGGACACTGCCCTGAGGCTATAGTTAATTTCAATTTTGACACGCTGTTTTCTATATTTTAAGTAACTTTCAAAAAGTGAAAGTTGTGTAGCTCGTATTCCAATTTTTTCAAGCTTATTCAGGAGAATAGGAACAGAGACGGTATCTAACGCCTTGGCCAAGTCCATAAATATGCCTAAACATTTCTGGCCGTTGTCAAGTATTCTCACTACTTCGTTTGAAAGATCTATGACTGCATCTTCAGTGCAAATTTTATTCTGGAAGCCATATTGCGAATCGGAAAGTATACTTCGATGTTCTAAGTATTTGATTAGCCTTTTATTAATTAATATTTCAAGAATTTTAGATAGTGTTGGCAATATTGATATTGGTCTAAAATTTCCAATCAGGTCAAAGCTTAAAAATGTCTGGGAAGATGCACTTATCAAAACAGGTGTTACAAAGATGTGTTATAATTGGGACAAGAATATGTCCAGCAAGCTTAATAAAATTAGTAGGTATGTTATCCCATCCAGTAGCACAGTTATTCTTTAAATTCAAAAGTATAGATTCTACTTCGGACTCATCAGTATGAACTAAACCGAAAGAACTCAGTAAACCACTAGATGCTGAAAACATATAAGTAACATCGTTATATGTTCTGGTGGATTGCTTATTTATTATATCTTCAGCAAAATTTTTACCAATTTTTGAAAAGTAATCATTGATACTATCTAATGATTCACCAATTAAAGGCTTTATTTTTAATAGTTCTGTACAGGCTTGATTTTTTTTAGTTATGTAAGCAATGGATTTAATATTTTTCCACATTTCCTTTGGATTTCTAATAGATTTTTTAAGTTGCACGCGCTCAAAGTTACGTTTTACTTTTTTAACAGATCATTACAAAATTTTCTGTAGCGTTTGTAAGTTATTTGGAGTATATTATCATTTGGGTTCTTTTTAAGTTTATATTGCATTTTATTTCTGTTCTTAATACATTTAGGTAAGTAATCCAGGAGTTATCCATGGTTTTATAATTCTTTTATTTCTAGGAATTTTAGTTGTAATTTTATTATTTTGAATAACTGAAGTGAGTTCATTTAACAACTTATCAGCAATTTCATTAGGGTTAAATAAAGAAAGTAATGGAGACATATTACAATTCCCTAGTTGTTTCAAGGCTGCATCGACATTTAAGTTTGAAATGAATCTAGCACAATTATTTTTAATCATAGGCATTGATGTTAGGCATATCACCACACTCAGATGTTCAGTTACAGATTTGTTTACTACCATTACAGCGATATTTTTAAATGCTCGTATCATAGCGTGGTCAATACAACTTAATTCTCTAGGGGGTATGTATGAGCCGGTAAGATTCCGTATTCAGCTAATACATTCAGATAGTTATGTCTATTTCTGTCAGAACTATTCGCTGATATATTAATGTTTATATCACCACTTATTATAACATTTCCATAATGCTTAATAGAGTGTAACAATTTACCTAAAGAATCAACAAATTCATCTGTATTGACAAAAGAAGATGAACGATAAACACCTAAAATAACTGTGTCATTATCAATGGTAATGGACATGCAAGTGGCATTAACAAGAGAAATTTCTTCTATTCTAATATTTCGAAACCTGTTTTTAATATACACAACAACACCGCCATTTTGGTTAATATTGAATTTACTACTATACGAGTCGTAATGATCAATTGTAGGTATATGTTTTTGTGACGATATCCTACACTACATTAAAATATCACAATCGAATTGTAACAATGACAAAACATTATCGAAATCATTAATATGTCAGAACATTTATTGTGTGTGTGTGTGTGTGTGTGTGTGTGTGTGTGTGTGTGCGTGCGTGTGTGTTACATTACTCGTAGTATGAGCAGGGCGGTGCAGCAGGCGGCCGCCAGCGCGAGGTCGTTGACCCGCACGAGCCTCCACTGCTGCAGGATGAGAGCCAGGTTGTCTGCGGGAGACTCGGCCGTGAACCTCAGGCCCAGTAGGCCCTTGAGCTGCGAACACACGATGATGATGGCCGTGGCCGTGGTGAAGCCGCTCGTTACTGACGGAGAGATCAGATCCACCAGGAAACCTACAGAACAAAACAATGTCGCTTATAATGTATTATTGGATCAATCGAAATACTCTTGACTTGCTACAGAATTATTAATTAAACGTATTGCTAAACAAGGTTTGTGAATTTATGTTTTGAATTAACAGATACGAGTTCGAGTGAGACATCAAATATAAGGAATGAAGTAAGAAGAGTAATGATGGCTTCGACCTCCACAACGAACCCATGTTTACTAAAACCTTTAGTATGGACCAAGATTTTGTTTACGTCGACGATTCATAATTAATTAAACTCATTTAAATTATATAAATATGTCATACTCATTTCCTGAACTTACAAAGCCAAGGCAAACAAATTTATAAGTATGTAAATAAATATTTAACAAAAGATCCACTCAGTATTTGTAATAGGATCCGTTATCTGATGGTATCGTCGGGAGGACACAGTGTTAATGTTATTATTATTATTATAATCACCGAGTCTGAGCAGTCCCATAGCGAGCACCACGCAGCCGGCCAGGAAGGAGAGCAGCACGGCCGCGTCCGGACACAGGCCGCGGGTGGCGGACAGGGTCATGAGGCACGACAACGACGTGGGCCCGATGGACACCTGGCGGACCGTGCCCAGCAGCGGGTACACCAGCGACCCTGGCACACACACACACAGCTATGAGAACACGTCTACTGACACCCATACCCTCAACACGTGCTACTCAGAACGCCTGTCCGGGCTTGAGTCTACAAGGACTTGGGTGAACTATGCTCTTTAGTCTACTAACAAGCTTCGACTACTGATGCACCACGAACTACCGTTTTGTATGAAGTATTCTCAATTTTAATACCATTGTATGAAATATTAATAAAAATTGTAATCAAGATCATATCGGATAATTTTGTACTGAATCCACCGTTTACAGCCTAAACTGTCACAGAGAAATTAATTTTAATAATTAAATGAAATAATACGTAATTGTAACAACTATCAACTGTGGAATTTTATTAGTTGTTTAGACTAATAACCTAGATATATGCAGTGCAAACTCGATATAACAAATCGGAGGGGAACAAGAAAATATTCGTTATATCAATTAATTCGTTGAACTGAGGTTTGTTATGTTGAGGTTAGGTTGGTCTAAAATTCGTTATAAAAAGGTGAAATAATACAAAGTTTTTTTACCTCAACATTACGATTTTGGTCAACATAATTAATAATGTTTCGCTTTTCTGCGACCGATAAGGAACACCCTTTACGCTTCTGAGCCATTTTAACTTAAAACTTTAACAATAGTGACGACCAGAATATTTATATTACTTTTCATCAAATAACAACGATTACTTTATGAACAAAAGCGAGTCGAAATATGTCGAGACATGAATTACAATATAAGATTAAGAGTTATATTATTGGTGAGAACTTTATATAAAGGTTTTGGGTTGACAAAATTCGTTAATTAGAGGTATGAATACTTTTTCTTGATAGTTGAAAATTCGTCATAAAGAGGTTGTTCGAATAGAATGTTCGTAATGTAAAGGTATATTTTATATTGACTCGTATGGACAATTCAAGGGGATTACGAAAAATTCGTTCAATTCAATCAATTCGTTATGTTGAGGTACGTTATATTAAGGTTGCACTGTAACATACACAGGTTCTATATAGTGGTGTGTGTGTGATGTAAGGACTGACCCACGAGCGCGGAGTACAGTCCGTAGTGCACGGGCATGTCGGCCAGCGCGGCGTACGCGATGGACTGAGGCACGAGCGTGAGGCCCAGCGTGAGGCCCGCCACCAGGTCCGCGACCGCCGCCGTGCGCGAGTACCGCCGGGCCCAGCGCGCGGCCGGCACCAGCTGCTCCAGGCCCCGCCCCCCGCGCCGCCCCTCCACCTGCAGCTCCTCCTCCTCCAGGTGTTCAGTCCTCGTCATGTCTCCGTGCGTGTCGCGCGTCCTGTGCTCGTGTCCGCTACATGTGACTCCTTATATATTCGTTAGTGATAAGCTCGCTCCTCGCTCGTGTTCGTCAGTTGTTGTCGCCCGTCGTCAGTCGTCGGTGGTCGATGTCACAACTTGTGATTACTTTATTGATTCCTTCTAATGAACTCGTTATATTTAATGATAATTCCTAAACGGCTCCCCTCAGCACCGCCGCCTGTCACTCATTACCGAAGATGTTCTACTCGTTGTAAATACTTTATCTCATACAAATATTAGTTCAACTGTCGGCGAGTTCAGTATTATAATGGCTGCCGATTTGCAAAGCTCCGTGTTAACATTTAAAACTTATAAAATAAAAGGAATCGTGGAATACAAACAACGTACAACGTTTTAATAAAACCATTTATTTATAATCTCTCATATCTCACATTACATCATAGTAACTCTCTTCGTTAACAAAACAACAACCATTAATGTATAAGTTATATATAGAGAACTCGTCAGCTCAGATTATAACATTCATAATAAATTATAATATTTAAACCCCATTAATAATGTACCGGTCCCCTCACCCTCCCCCTCCTCTATGTACAGGTCGCCTCTCCTCCTCGCCCTGCCCCTCCCTCTACCCCCTCGCCGCCACCCTCTGTACGATGAGGTCCACCTGCTCGTCCACTCGAGGACTGGTCCCCCTGCACAGAAAGCCGCGTCAGGTACAGTCGAGTAGACCAGTGGTGAAGGTGTGTGTGTGTGTGTGTGTGTGTGTGTGTACCTGAAGGCGCCGGGGTCAGGTCCGACGAGTGCGACGAGTTGCGGTACATCGTGCGAGTGTTCCGCGAGGCGGGCGAGGGCGGCCAGCGCGCGCCACAGGAGCTCCTCGGCCGGAGCTGACGAACACAGCTGGAGCGCCGCCATACACAGCTCCACACACACCTCGTCGAACACCTGCGACACACGGACACACGCGACGGACACAGTCAACATACACGAACAGAGATATATATATACATATATGATGGACGAGGGCGAGCGAGCGGACCGTACCCGAGACGAGACTGGCTAGAGAGATGTGACCACAGTAATATAACATGCATCTGATGCGACGAGCGACATGTAAATCAGCGGATTAATATATGAGCGACTCCTCGCGAACCGGTCCTCACTACACGGACAGAATACATTAACAGAGGAGCATGAGGCTGCGAGCGACCTTGAACAGAACACTCGGCAACTAGAGCGGGTTATGTAAACGAGGTGATCCTGAGACACGCGGCCGAGATACGAACCTGACGAAAAACAAACACTAACATGTCATTGTTACATTACTTGCACAATACTACATCAGTCCTCTTATATCTTTTAAACTCTTGATGTCATACATGCGATTATAAATATGCAATGATAGAAATGTGAACAAAGCATTTATTAATTTGTTTACGTGACCCTGTGGGACCATGAATTTAACTCGACCCTCGGACTAAAGATCTTTGAAAATCAAACAAAACTATTCTTTAAATGTTTCAGACCCCATACACTCTTCATACAACGGGGTCGACCATCTCGCCTTCTTCACATCTACATAGAAAAGATTGTACATATATATAGATTTGCTCATATTATTATTGAATTGCTGGTAGAGGTTTGTGTTTAAAGGAAAATAAAATTGAATATGTCTGAGATCACTTGATTTTATTGATAGTGCAAGTTGTCTCCTTAAGATCAGCAGCCAGTAGTTCCTCCCCTTAGACGGAGGAGGTTTTTCGAGTATAGGTTGTTCATCTGTCCTTGCTTGCTACTAAGCTTCAAGGACGTCTTAACAGTGACATACTTTGTAACATTCTTAACCTCGTCGTGTGAAAACGTCGGGTTCAGAGCAGATACAGGTGTAGCGTGTAGCGTGTGACCGGGGAACACTTCCCGAAGAATATAACGGTATCATGTAAGCAGCCAGCCTGCCTTCAGTAAACAACAGCAAAGGTTTCTATACCAACGACGAGCTCGTATATATTTCTTTCTTATAGTTTCCAAGCTGTACGAAGCTCAGTACGGAGCACAGGAGGGAAAGGATCCCATACTACAAGTTTAAAAAATATAGTTAATGAGCAAAATATATGTGTTAGATGACGATCAATATAAGATGATGACACACAAACAACAGGTCGATGCAACATTAACAATGGAGATGATTATGACTGTGATAAAACAGAGCCGCCGCTACACTAATAATATATTACTTATCACATACGCATGATAAGTAACGTGGCGAATGTATTAAGTTAACGAAATGACAGCTGCATGGCAATATTAAGGGAATGGGATCCATCGACAGGAGGGAATATTATATACAGAGGCAGGAGACGGCTCCGAGTACAATTAGTTGATCAAAATAATAAAAATATGCACATCACGTGACCGACGATGTGCGAACAACAAGTAATGAATACATTGACATATAATAACAAAGCGTGTCGGCCATAAACACGACACTGAGTCAATATTAGCTGACTACAGCTACGAGCGGGGACTCGGATCATTAACAATAGTTCAATAAAGTTACTGATATATGTAGTTTGTAAACAACTATTTTCCTGTTGTGAAATTCTTGATTTAATCAAAGTTCACAAATATTATGTTAAGCAGAATAATATTGTCGTTAGTACATGTAAGGTTTATATATTGTAACCACAAGTCAGATGAGGGCCGGCGACGTGTTTAGTGACGTCACTTAACACACACACACACAACATAGATACATACACGAGAGGCCCCTCACAGACATATACCTTGCTCTTGGCGGCGGCGGGCAGCGGGCGACGGAGAGCCGCGCACACCGACAGGCGCTGGAACACACACACACACCTGCAGGGACATACGGACACACACACACACACGCACGCACGCACGCACGCACGCACGCACACACACACACACACACACACACACACACACACACACACACACACACACACATGCTCAGAGACACAATCATAATCATTAGAAATACGTATTATTCTACATATTTTTTTGTCGCGAGAGTCGTGTCAGGGTTGTTTGTTATATGTTTTCTTCAACTCGCGGAGATACGTTTTAATAAATCGCTAATAATAATTAATCCATATTAACAGTTGTCATAAGTCACATCATCCGTTCTAAACTGTTCTTATTGAGACCGTTATTCATTAATAAGAGTATTATAATGTTATTTAGTATAATTCCTCCAGAGGGCGGTTCTCGTTGAGTATATTGTAAAATCTTTAATAAAACAATTGTATTTGTGTATATAAGCCGGCGGCGGATGTCAGGGACGTATTATGTTGTCACATGTATTATTTGTTCACGTCTCAAACACATCGTATGAGAGCGTTCTTTCTTTCGTTATCTCTCGTAGTACGTGTGATAACATCGATGACACTCGGGATCAACTCGTCTGTGGTTCGCTTCCCTCCCCGCCTGTCTCTACTCGTCACCATCACATAAGTCTCGGCTACGGTCGTCCCGGTCACCCCGTATATTATATTAATAGTATATAGTAATGAGCGATACAGACCACAGTCTTTACCTCCTTGGTGGCTATGTTGTAGAGCAGCGCCGTGCCCGCGTCCCTCAGCGCCGGCTCGGCGGCCAGCACGCCGTGCACACACACCTTGGTGGTGACGCGGATGTTGGACAGAGGAGGCCCGCCGCCCGACGACCACTCGCTGATGTACAGCAACCACTCCGACGACGACGGGCCCGAGAACAGGTTCACCATCTGTGACACGACACGACGCGGACACGATACGGATACTACACGGACACTACACTAGAAGAGCATACTCACGAACAGGAGGAGCGCCAGCTGCTCGTCCACCGGCAAGCGGTCGATGTTGTACGAGTAGGAGAGGAGCGAGTGGTGGCGACGGTCCTGGTGCAGCACCAGGGACACGTCCTCACGGAGCGCCGCGCAGCACAGGCAGCGCAGCAGAGACACGCGGGCCGGGGACGGGAGGGAGGAGTCCGACAACACGCGACCTGCGGACCAGCGGGGGGCGGTGAGAGGGGGCGGGGGGCGACCGGCGAGGGGGAGAGGGAGTCACGTACCGACGAAGGCAAGGAAGTCATCCCCGAGCACCCAGGAGCCCTCCCCGGCCACCAGGTACTGCTGCAGCTCGTCCAGACTACGCCGCTCGTCCTCCGTCAGCTCCACTCCCTCCAGACCCTTCACCAGCGACTCGTACTCCGCCACGCCCTGCCGGTGGATTTGTTACAAGATAATTAAGTGTGAGACAATTTTAATAACACATTATGATCTAAGAGTTTTTTTTTTTTATTAATGACGTAAGTAATTGTTTTAAAAATTCTCAAGTTTTATTATACGCTGATGACACTAAATTTTTTTAAATAATAAAAAATAATCAAGACTTTACATTTACAAGAGGATTTAAATAAATTAGGACAATATTGCATTGCTAATAATTTGCAGCTTAATGTTGACAAGTGTTGTGTAAATTTCGAGAAAAAAAGAACAAATATTTTTTGACTATTCCATATTTAATACTAAATTAAAAAGGGTAACCGAGGTGACTTGAGCTATAACTAGACAACAAACTCATATTCGATAAGCATATTGAGAAAATAGTGATGAAATCGTATAAAATGCTTGGATTTATCTTTCGGCAAGAGGCAGATTTTAAAAATATTCATACCTTTGTAATTTTGTACGATGCTTTCGTTAGATCACATTTAGAGTATGCGTCAACTGTTTGGAATCCAAAATATGCAAAATATGTCAACTTAATTGAAAATATACAAAACAAATTTATCAGGAGGTTGCGATACAAATTTACTTTTCCTGATTCAGTCTTTTTGCCACTTGAAGAACGTAGAGACCAAATATTTCTTTACAAAATATGTATTAAATAAATTAGTTGATTCTCCATATCTGCTCAGTAATATTTTATTTAAATGTCCTCGTTTTAACGCTCGCTCTCAGGATACTTTTTCAATACCTATTTGTAAGACTAATTATTTCAAAAATTCTTTTATTTTAAGATCTTGTAATAGTCATAATATGTAGAAAATACAACCACATTGATCTGTTTAAAAATGGTTTAAGTAAATTTTATAATCTTGTAAAAAATACTCATTAGTAATTAATTAATAGTTGTATTTTAGGTTACATCAAAATTAGTCCACTTCCCCGTAAAAACAGTAGTGGAAACTTAACTGGCATAAGTGTCAAAATATAATTATTATATCAAGCTGTAATATACGATATGCTGTATGTGTCCCTAATAATAAATAAATAAAGAAAACTGTGCAAGTTATCTTTATCGCCATAGAACACGTTATTATCAAATTAATCATCGATTAACAATTAATTTTCAAAGCCCGGCATCGTAAGGGTAATTTAATAATGTTCAACATTATTTTTGTTTTCAAGCACCATATTATTCATGACTAGTGTCGCCCACACGCGCGAGTCGTGTTCTCTTATTCATAACGACATCTGCGCCGACTCACATCCTGATGGTTCTGGAAAGGGTCCCAAAACAATTTTCTATAACGTTGGCAACTTGCTATACAGTAAACACGAATGAGCTGACAACCTAAATGTATGTACTATAGTAAACTTCATAGCAGTATGGTGTGTTGTGTGGTGACTCACATCAATGTCCTTGAACAGTATGGGAGGGTCCTTGGGCCGCGGCCGCTCGTCCTCGCGGGGCGGCGTGCTGGGTCCGGGACGAGCCTCCAGCACCTCCACCGGCTCAGACATCTCTGTATACAAACAACGACGAGCTACATACACGTGATACTGGCTCAGGGTCTGTTCTAAACCTAACATTGTTATAGTCTATGTTTCAAAACAGTTCCCTTGCAGACTTCAATAACACTCTTGACCGTCAGATGTGTACCAGAATGTTTACGTGTATTCTATCTTTGGGTTAATTTTATAGGTTATTACACGCATGGCCCGAGCGTCTTACTCAGAATATATTTCTGTAATCGACACCGAGCGTGTTTGATCGGTGGCCGGTACGATGATACTATTTATTATTAACAGACTTAGCGGCCGCGACGTCGCTAGGTATATTAAGATTATGGTAACAAATAAATAGTTAAAAATGAGTCACTTTCAACAAACGTTACGAGAACCATGAATCATATAAAAAAATAATAGTTTACCGAATCAACAGAAAACCTGTTTGTAGGTGGTCGAAGCTGATGCCGTCAGTCGTCCCACAAACACTTATGTGTTTATTATTAGTGGATCTATTTCCAGCCCCGTGGTCGTCGGTCCACTGTGCGTGTTGTACTAGCGGGTGTCGACAGTACTCCGCGGAATTCTCCAGCGAGTGCGGGTCAGCTCTATAAATACAGTGGACGTGTTCCGACCAGCTCGTGCGGCGCGGTGCGGCCGGTGTCGGGAGCGAGCGAGCCGGGAGTGAGGCGAGGCGCTCCACCCGCCACCCGCCGCCCGCTGGCCGCGAGCCAGCCGCCGGCCTTTCACGTGTTCCTCCACCCCTCACAGCCTATCCTCCACGACCCCTTCTTCAACTCCTAACTGTTCCGTTCTCTGTACAGTATTCTTCTATCTACATATTCATCGTGACCGTAGTACGAGTTCTCAAGAGCGTCTCTCGCCGAACGCCACGTGAGCCCGAGTCAGCGGAGTAGCTGACCCAATTGAGGATCGTTCAACTACAGTAATAAATAGACGAGAGTGATTACATCGTCTACTTTTACAAAAGATTCTGCTAAACGGTTCGATGTATTCATTTGTTTAAAATTTTGCATCGATACAAAATATAAAGCGCTAGTGTATTTATGACTTTCTTGTTCTATGTAGAATCTACAGCTACTTGTCGTATTTCTATATATTTTTAGGTGCTATACATATGTAGTTTTAAATTTCACGATTCAGATTAAGATTCGAAAAAGTCATCGAGCAGTAAGTAACTTGTGAGTTTCGGTAGTAATAACAACTACCTTCCTTCACTACAGCCCATTGACTACGGTTTTGTGAAATACCTCTGATACCGTTATCCTTCTATTTATATGTTTTCTTGTTAATTTCGAGAATACATAATAGGGAGAACGAAAGAAGAAATAAGAAATTGGGGTCGAAGTGGAACAATAAAAAGACCTTTTATGTAGGCCTGAAGTGCATTATGTTTTTTTCATGTCCAAAAGAGGCAAGCGAGCAGACAGCTTGATGGTTAGTAGTATGGTGAGATAGATGGCAAGTAGTGATCGTAACTTAGTGTTGGAACTAACTATTGACATGTACAACACAAGAGGCGTTGGAGACGCGTTGCCGGCCGTGTTTGTAAAGAAGCCACCGAAAACTTGATGTTTGAAAGCCATTGTACAGACGGTAGAACATACACAGGGAAATTACATCCCTTCAGATGCTTAAGTATTAGACCCAGTTTCACCAACCAATGTTTGTTTAATCTAATCACAGCATTTACTAACAAACCTTCAAAATTATAAATGTCTATTAAAATATTTACGTCCTACGATGACAAATTAGGCCAGTGCAGAAGCCTTTAAAATTAATGAAAAGTGAAAATAAATTATAGTAGAATGAGCACTCATTAGAAGAAGAGGGGAATAGTATAAAAATTAAAGGAAAAATAATTTACGGGCGATCTGTGGTCGGGAAGGGTATGGGTATTTACGGGTATTTAAGGGTAAAAAATGGGTTTTCTCGATTTTCGGCAAAACTAAAAGCCCTACAAAAAAATGTTATAACTTATATGGCAAAGTTGTAGGTAATAAAAAGACCTAAAACTTTTATATTAACATTTTTTTAAATAACCTCAAAATTTATGTGAAAAATTCAAAAACCGTAGTTTTTTGTTTTTTATTTTTATCTCTTCCAAAAGACAATATTTTGTCACGAAATTTGGTGAAAACTTTCCTGTTGATGTTACAAATGCACTGTAATTTATTTGATTAGAAATATTAATTTTTTCAGCTTATCTTCTATATATATAAAAATGGATTGCTGTTCCTTAGTCTCGCTAAAACTTGAGAACGGCTGAACGGATTTATTTTATCTTAGTCTTGAAATGTTCGTGGAGGTTCAAGGAAGGTATAAAAGGTGAGAAAAATTGATTCATTTTCGGGAAAACCCTAAAAACAGCCCTTTTCTATTTCCCATACAAATGTTTTCTTTGACATTAGTTTTGACAACTAACTAATATGTCAATCATTCTGTTCGATTGAAACAGGAGAAACCTGATTATTTATGGCCTCTAGGACGGAATAGAGTTCGCCCGGTCAGCTATACATATATTACTAACTAGAAGACCTGGCGAACTTCGTATCGCCCTATAATCAAGAAATATCTATTACGTTTTTTTATTTATATTTTTGGAGTTTACCTGTAAGCCATAAATCTGCGTGTTTTGAAGTGCGACAGAATGATTGACATATTAGTTGTCAAATCTAATGTCAAAAAAAACGTTTGTATGGGAAATAGAAAAGAGCTGTTTTTATGGTTTTCCCAGTAGTGAATCAATTTTTTTCAGCTTTTATACCTTCCCTGAACCTCCACGAACATTTCAAAACTAAGATAAGATAAATCCGTTCAGCTGTTCTCGAGTTTTAGCGAGACTAAGGAACAGCAATCCATTTTTATATATATAGAAGAAAAAGATGATGAAATTAACGCGGACGAAGTAGCGGGCAAAAACTAGTTTTGAATAAATACCGAAAAATCAGTCTCATTTTCAATCAAAAATCACCCGTAAAAATATCAGCTATTTTCAAAAATTTGGTATGTTTTCAATTTGTTGAAATCTCTATTTTACGATGGCGAAGAAATAAATATAAGTGTCTTACTTACAGTACCATTTTTGGATAAAATAATCATGTCTCTCTTAATAAAATGACACTCGACATCGTTTTGAAAATGCTCTTTCTAATTTATTTTTAATAGTTGTGTACTCTAGAAGTTCTCCAGATAGTCCTTCTTTTAAGTAATTTATAGAAAATTGACATTGAGCTGCTAAAACTATTAAAAATAAATAAATTGAAAGAGCATTTTCCAAACGACATCGAGTGTCATTTCATTAAAAGGGACATTATTATTTTATCCAAAAAATGGTACTGCAAGTAAGAAACATATATTTTTTTCTTCACCACTGGAAAATAGAGATTGTAACGAACAGAAAACACACAAAATTTTTGAAAAACGCTGATATTTTGTCGGGTGATTTTTCGATTGAAAATGAGGCTAATTTTTCGATATTTATTCAAAATGAGCTGAAAAAATAAATATTTCAATCAAATAAATTACAGTGTGTTTATAACATCAAAAGGTAAGTTTTCATCAAATTTCGTGACAAAATATTGTTTTTTGTAAAAAATCAAAAAAAAACCAAAAACTTGGTTTTTCGAATTTTTCACATAAATTTTGAGGTTATGTGAAAAAAATTTTGTACAAAAGTTTTAGATCTTTTTATTACCTACTACTATGTCATATAACATTTTTCCGTAGGACTTTTAGTTTTGCCGGAAATCGAGAAAACCCATTTTTTACCCTTAAATACCCATCGCCATACCCTTCCCGACCTCAGATCACCCGTAAATTATTTTTCCTTTCATTTTTATAATATTCCCCTCCTTTTCTAATGAGTTTTATTCTACAATAATTTAAATATGTTTTAAAAGCTATCGCCACTGGTCTAAATTAACAACGCATTATTAAACGTCATGTCAAATGACCGACTACCAAATTATTCGTTCTTGTTATAAGACGACCAAATGGAAACTATAGCGTTTAATACAGCACGTTTGCCATTATGCACCCCATTATACTTTGATCGTATATATCCCTCGATACGTCACTGTTAGGTAATGCGACCATATATCGTTGGTTGCATACATTTAGCACACAAAAAGCTTTCTTTTCAATTTACTAGGTGTAACCTGTCAGAATCGGGTTGTCAATAAATTGTGTTATATATTATTATGTTATGTTATGTTATAAATATAGGCATAAATTGTGTTCAAATTATAAGAGATAAAAAGAAAATTTAATTTGCAATGTTATAAAAAAGCTGGAGGCAAAATCATCATAGGAAATGAAATTTTAATTCACTTTATTAACAAGTACAAGGAAATAGTCGAAACTGACAAAACAGATGACGTTACTATGGTTACAAGAAATCAGGGCTGTGATTGGACAATTGAGTTTCGACAATGCATTAACAGTCTGTTAGCCATTAGACGGAGCTCCAGAGCAGGAATTAATATTAGTGGCTGGTTAAGACATTTAAACGAACATTTGTGCGTGGTGGGACGCTCGATGCATCTAATAGAGCATCAAACGCCTTAACAAGCTGTCACTTATTTAACATTGATTGGTGAAACTGGGTCTTAAAGTGCTTAAAAAATGTCTGTACATCGTATATTTAACATGTGCATGTTACGCATGCAAAATATATTTTGTAAATTGAACGAACCTCCCCGGGTGACACCGACAACATGTCGGAACCAGAAGATTCCTATCAGCACACAACAAGTTTAATTATATTGTAATCCTAAGAGGGGGAGACGGGAGGGCGCCGAGTAGTGTGAGGTTATTAGTTTTAATAATTAAATTTTTAGGTAAGTTTAGTAGTTTTCAGAGCCTGTCCTCATCAGCTCTACACCGTCTTTCGATCACTCACTCACAGTTCCAGAATTTACAGAAGTCTCGCTCCGATAACCATACGCAGGATACTGTTACTATTACAATAATCCTTGCTGCTATCCTGAGTCTTAATACCAGAAAACATCAAAGAACCGAGTCTGCTACATTTAAGAGGTTACACTTGTTACTGTAAAGCCTCCCCCCCCGCTACTCACCTCCTCCCCCCTCCTCCGCCGTCTGTTCTCCTCCCATTAGTCTCTTCCTCTTCTTCTCCTTCCTCCTCTCCTTCCTTGCCAGTTTCTCCGCCAGCGTGCTCCTCCTCGCGTCCAGCTCCTGGGACGCCACTCTGTGTCCAACCGACAGTCGTCACCTCGTGAGAAGTCAGATACACACTGATAGAAGACTCGCTTCATATAAGTCATTTACAAACTGTACATCAATATAATCTACAAATAATAGCTTCCACTGGTGTTTGAACATTTATTTGGGACAGGGGGTTAAGGGGAGCGGAGGGGGGGTGGTTGGGTTGTGTTTCTTCTGTTCGTATGGAGGCTGGAGCCTGTTCTTCAGTATGGTCGTGGGTGTGTGTGGTGCTCGTCCCTGTCGGCCGTCAGTCTCCTCCACACGCGCCACACGGCCGCCGCCAGCGCCGCCGCCGCCAGCAGCCTCCTCCCCCGAGCACTGCACACAGCGCACGGTCACGGCCCGTGTCGGTCGCGTGTCGTGTGTGGTGTGTGTCACCTCACCTGGCCTCCTCGATCTGGTCGTTGAGCGTGAGGTAGTCGGGGCTGTCCCGTCGGCTGTGCCTCACTCCGCCGTAGACGGGCGCTCCGTCGGGCACGAGGTGGTCGAGCGCGGCCTGCAGCGCCAGCCTCAGCGGCGGCGGCAGGTCCCGCTCGGCCTGAGACACGATGTGTTTGGGCACGCGCGCCCCGCACACGAACTGAGCCACCTCGTCGCTGAAGTGGTTGCAGTTGTGTTCTAGCAGACGGTACGCCTGGCCTCTGTACATACACATACATACATATACGTGAGAACGAACATACGATCAGACAACTGTGTTAGTGCAGGTTGTATGTACACACGTGTAGGAGCTAGTAGCGAGCCCCTGGATGTACTCCTGGAACACGGGGTAGGGCACGAACGTGGTCCCGAGACGCTCCACCTGGCACGGAGCGCCGAGCTGGGTGCTGCCCTGCGGACATACGACAGACACATGTGTAATATTGAAACATACGACTATGGAAAACTATAAGTAGACAGAGTACAGCGAGAGACAACTCCTTACGACTACGTTCAGGGCATCGACATTGAAATATTTGCTTTTTAATTAAGCTTTACAATTTGTATTACTTTGCAAGTTTACAACATATAAGGAGTTCAAATGGAAGATTCGAAGTAAATGTAAAATGTAAATAAAACTAAGGATGTCAGGGCTGGAATAATACTTACATTATAAATATGATACATATAACTTTTATATATTAATAGATTATCTCATTTAAACAATTTGAAAATGAAAGCGATATTTAAAATATCCAACAGGCACAGCTAGTTTAACAAGTGTAAATTGTTCACATCATGTATTAGTAAGAACCCGCTTGTGTTTTATAAAATACTAAAAGACCCGGCGAACTTCGTATCGCCCTATAATCAAGTAATATCTGTTACGTTTTTTTATTTATATTTTTGGAGTTTACCTATTAAAGTCATAGATCTCCGTGTTTTGAAGTGCGACAGAATGATTGACATATTAGTTAGTTGTCAAATATAATGTCAAAAAAACGTTTGTATCAACAACTACTAATAAATTAAAAATTTAAAAAAAAAAAAACATTGTCCAGCGGACAAACTTGTGAATCTAAACCATTCCCAGATCCCCTTGAACACACACAAAATATTATATTTTTTATTACCACATAAATATTAATAAACTTCTAAGTAAAGTTAACCAAAAGTTATGTAATTAATTACGCATCGTGTGCACACCCTACAGATTAGGTATACACACACACACACGCCGCCACGCGCGTCCACACTTGGAACACTTGGAACGTGTCCACACTTTATTTATTTATACGGAAATTTGGTCAAAAATTAAGTACCTATTTTATTTACATAATTCGAATGAGAATCATGTACCGAGTATTCTCCTTAAATATTGATAGTAATTCACCAGTCACCCTGTATATGTATACTTGTCAAGTTAATTTAAAGTCTTATACATATATGAACATGTTTTATATGTAACAGACTGTACAACAGACGGCAGATATATCTGTGATTCTTGTTGTCGTTCATGGGAGGAGGTGACCCGAGGCAGCACACTTTGTTCCGTGATCCGACCAGACACTAGCCAGTTACCGTGAGGACTCCGTGTCTGCTAATAGGACGTATTAATACGAGAGGTCATGTTGACACAGAACATTCCCCCAGCTATGTTAACTATATCTGCGGGTAGCGAGGACTTACAAGGAATTATATAGTAATGTAAAGTCGTCAAACAAAGGTCGTCCTCGACTTATCTCACGTCCCAGATGTCTACCTGCAGGTCTCTAATTATCAGGTTTGTGACACAGTCTTGTCATCTAAACGCAAATTCAATTTGATGTTTGTCAAACATAGTTCAAATATTCTGTATTCATAGTGCAAGGAAAGTCCAATACCTGAACATTCAACATTAATAAAAATAAAATAAAATAATATCATTGTATAACTGTAACGAGTATCTTGAGTTATCTCTTGAAGAATGATTCTCAATCATTATTGTTTTGTTATATAAAATTATTTAATAAAGGGTATTCGTCATACATTACATTATTTTCTACATCCTCGGCCCTTTCTTTTTCAGTGGTATATATGTATGTATTTTGTACGTTGGACCCTTTACTTGTGTGACGAGTGACTGAGGTCCGTGTGTGACGTCATGAGAGACGTCCTCGTGCTGTGTCTTATCTATACTAATCTATAAGTTAATATTATAAAGTTGAAGAGTTTGTTTGTTTGTTTGTTTGAAAGCGCTAATCTCCGAAACTACTTGTTCGAATTGGATAATTCTTTTTGTGTTGGATAGTCCAGTTATCGAGGAAGGCTGTGGGCTATATAACATCACGCTACGACCAATAGGAGCAAAGATATAGTGGTAAATGTGTAAAAAACGGGAGAAATTATTTCATCTTCGAAGCCTTCCGTTGCGTGCGCCGTGAAAACGGTTCAAGATACACAAAAAAAATATGTATGAAAGAATAATAGCTCTTTTAATTATCTAAAAATCAGTCCGCGACAGTATATGTCTATCTTTTAAGATTAACTAACAAAAACCGTTTTTATAGTACCTAATTTCTCGAAATAATTTGTTTATAATTTGTTGTATTAACATAATAATACATATTAATCTTAACAACTAACAGTAGTTGTGAATATGCGATACATGTAGCGCGGAGTGAGTCGGGTCGGGACTCGGGTCTATATTAAGAAACACAAGGAAGAATTTACTGGTAACATTTGGACGATGACAACAATGTAGGGAACTAGGTAAATGTTGCTGGCTCTGTGCTAGTTTTATTGTGAATGAACACATTTTTATAATTATCAGCATGTTTCAGAATTGCTTTTAGGTTTATACAATTTTATTTCATACATAAGCAAGGGAATTGCGATTTCTTTAATTTTTCGAGAAGATTATTTCATATTCATAGCTAGTCACGTTGTATTATATTAGTACTCTTAATATCTTTACTTTCTCACGACTCTAACATTTTTTTTCTTTCTTCCAAAGTTCTCCATATCCAAGAACAAAAGTGGTTCAAGTTTCCTGACATTTACGAATAAAATAAGAGCACGAAGTCACCTTTCACTGTTTTGAGAGCATTCCTGTTAGAAATATGTCTCGATGTGAGTGAGACGGATATAGGCATTGATGTAACGAGTGCGAGGGAGATGGAAGATATGAGAGTTATTAGTGAGTGGAAATATAGAACACACGTGAAGCGCGTCGCATCTGAGAGAGGATGAATGTTGTGGACAATAGTTCATGTGGCTACCGATACCAATATAATACTTATGATGCATCTCTCTTACAGAGCTACTGATTTAAAATGTGTCTCTCATGTACTAGTGAGGGTGTAGTCCTGAAAGTCCTCATTTCATTCTTTTTTATACTTTAAACAACTTTTACGATCCGAAATGAAACGCGTCCTAGCGTGTAATCCAATACTACGCATTTTTGTTATTTACTATGGAGAAGTTATTTTTAGATTAATCATGACGAAAATATGCGCGACATTCTTAGTGTTTATTTCCTGAAAGCTTGGCGATGAGCCCGCGCTCCGGTGAAATGTTTATAATTTGATAATATTATAACATCGACCGGCGATATGTGACCTTCGTGTACCAACAAGTGGCGCGGGTAACGGTGTCTCTTTATATTGGCGACCAGTATTACACGTACCGAGGACACAAATAAAACAAACGCATTCATTTGATTTATTTTAACACGAGTCTAATTTTACTTCGCAAAAAATATCCGTTCATCAATTAAAATTTATCGCCACACGTCTGAACGTATCGTGAGTGTGACACGTTATTATTATATGACACGTGATGCTCCTAGGGGATCGTGTGACCGATGACGTCAGACTGATCTACAACCTGCACCACACTTGAACAACCCTCATGTAACGTGTGTGTGTGTGTGTGTGTGTGTGTGTGTACCCACCGGCGCGCAGCTGGTGACGCCGCCGCCTCCGTAGAAGTACTCCCGGCCGAACACCACCACCGCCGTGTGCCACACGCCCTCCACCTGCCGCCCTGCAACACGCGACACACACAAACATACACTCAAATGTAACATATACAGGGTTCATACTTTAAGAATCGCTCTACACACACACACATGCACACTTGAGTACTAATACAGATTAGTGACTACTGTTATGTCAATATGTATTGAAGTGAGTGATTTCATCTGATGTTAACCTGATGAGTGACATGAGATCTGTTTGACAACAAACTCTAATCTCTTACACTTATCACTACATGTGAAAACACAAGGAATAAATGACTTCAAGGTTTAATTTCAATTTGAAGAAACATGAGATGGAAAATATTTCATTCACCAGAATGAAAAGTATTCTCATAAGAACTTAAGATTTTTAAATAAAAATAATAAATATAAACTTTTTTTAAAATACACCACAAGCTAATATATTCAAATTGATATATTATCTAGTATGAATGTGACCACATCATGTAGGTCTAAGAAATAATATGTTATTAATGATTCATAACAAAGTTAATGAGTTATAATCAATGTCAGGAGGACAGAATCTGTTTTGGTACATTATAATATTAAAAATCATCTGAATACAAAACATTTTAATATTCCCTTACAAAATAAATGATATAAATATATAACACAAACAAAAACATCACATGTCAATAAAGTTTTAATTACAAATAACTGATCAAAATTTTGATATAGCATGAGATAATAAGACTCTAATTATATATATAAATCTTAGAAATGGTTCTAATATAAAATATTATTTACCAAGTATAGCAGGTGACAGTAATGAAGCCAGACCCTTTGTGAGGTCATATATGTAGAGGTCCACAGGCTCCCCCTCCTCCATAGACATTCTGACACCTCACTGCTCCTCGAGCCTGATGAATGTTAAGATGTCCTCAACTTGTACTTCGCAATGGCTTTACAAATTCAAGCCCCAGTGGTCATAGAAATAGTGATAGCTTACATTAAAATTGTATTGTAGTAAATATATTACAAATGCGTCAATTTAAAGTGGAATGGGATTTGATGAATTAAATTTCAAAAAAGCTATGCCAACAAAGAAGGGAGCACCTTCAAGTATCAAATGTAGGATAGTCAAGTTATATCACAATAAACAAACAGCACGACTACAGTTCAGATATATAAAGCGCGCGTCGAGCTGACTGCAGCGAGACGAGCACCTGGCGCGGACTGGCGGGAGGCGGGAGCTGCTAGGAGTTAGGACTACACACGAACATACAACACCCACCTAGTGCACACTATTTTTACAACATACATAGGTGAAGCTTGTGTACAGCTATACATGTTCCTACTTAACGATTCGATGTCGCTTAATGATCGCTCTATTTTATATGTGCTGGATGACAATTCAAAATATTACTCCTTATTTATAATTTGGACATCAAATATTATATCCATTTTTCCGGCAAGAATATTTAAAAAAATTGTGACTTTAACTTATAGTTCATACATAAATATGTTTTATTTGAATATTTACCGTTTATTGCATTAGTTATTTTTAAAAAGTGAAGATTATTTTTAGCTACTATTTCCTATTTTTAACTTTTATTTACACTAATTGACAGATGACAACAGTGACATGATTGTACAATTTTGAAATGACTTGATGCAAAAAAAAATTATCAAAATTATGTCATTTGTATATTTAAGTAAATTATTTCTCGACTTGCTAAGACAATGAGGCTTATTAATTCTAAGCCCTGTTCAAAACAGATCCCTATATTATATAATTTTTAAAAAATAGCACTAATAAATACATTTTTAATAACTGTAATATAATTTTAAAATGAGCAGTATATTAATACATAGTTTCTAATAAAAGCAATAACATAATATATATGTTACAATTATTTTTAATATCTTTCATAAATAAAACAAATGTCATAAATACAAGTTTTAAAGTTAAACTCCTTTACTAGTTAATAAACGAAAGTTGTTGTCATGGCTTGTAGTTGACATATAGTCTAATTGTCAATTGCTAAAATTGTCATGTCAGTGTAGAGCTGTGTAGTTATTTTATTATTTTATTTATAAAGTAAAATGTCAGGAACAAAAAAAATGGTAAACTTTTTAAGTGTGTCGTTAGTTCTCTATCTCTGTAATCCCCGAAATACCCTCGACTGTAGTCTTCTCTATAGTAATTTACAAAGGACAAAAGCTTTTGAAATTTGTTGTCAAAGATTTAAATTTTCTTACGCACCTCCGTTGCTACGGCTGTTATAAAATATAATAATTCCTTGGATTAACTTAAATTTGTATAATAATTGGATACAGTATATTTATTGGAAGTGATGACTCGACATTATTGAAGGGCATTGTCATAAACGTATTGACAGGAGGGTCGCTCTCAGCTAGTATGTTTGTTATCCTCAGACGCTGCGGGTCCAGTCGTCGGAGGGCACGACCCGCGTGGAGATGCTGGACACGGAGGTCACGTCGCGCCTCTACGAGCGAGTCCACGACACTCTGAACTTGAACTCATTCGGCTTCGCTTTACACAAGGACCGCGCGCGGAAACAAGAAATTTCATCTAGTAAATCTCGCCAACTCCGAGAGTTCGGGCTGCAACATGGAGACATGCTCTACTTGAGTCCTGTCAATGGAACAGTTCTCTTTGACCAGCCTTCCACTAGTTCTGAGGTGACCCATGACACCCTACTATATACTCTACTGTGGCAGTTTATCCATCTCAGCAACCTTATAGCATACTGTTGTTTGCAGCCACTCAACAAGCCTTTGACAGAGCATTCAACGGAGGCAGGTCCTTCCACAGTGACTCCCTCAAATGCTGTCAGTAAGGGTCCAATAGAACATGAGGTAGACTTACAACTGTACCGTCTCTCAGGCAGCATACATCGACAGAGAGATGAAAAATTGTAAGTCATTTCCAAACTCAATGTAAATGTCTTTGGCAGTGCTATAATATTTTAAGTTATTATTGGATTTGTTTTCTTATAATTGGATTTAGAATAAAATGTACTAAATGCATGGTTTCATTAGTCATATTTTAGTCATTTTTAAAATTTGTAGTATGAACTGCAGAGACAGGTAACATTTAATAAACATAAAGTTGTTAACATAATTAACCCTAAAGTACATATGTGTCAGATGTCGTCACAATTCCAAAGGCTGTTGTGTGCACTGTTCGGCCCTGGAGCCCTGGGACGAGGGCTACCTCAAGGAGCACAACATCAAGCACATGTCATTCCACGCATACCTCCGCAAGATGACTTCTGGCAAGTTCATCACACTGGATGAACTGTCATGTAAAATAAAGCCAGGTGAGACCGCCACTGACTAACTGACTGACTGTGTGGATGTGGTCGCTCATAGTAGTGAGTGTAGTGAGTCGGTGACGTCATCTGTGTTATTCTCCAGGCTGCAAGGAGCACCCTCCGTGGCCGCGCGGCATCTGCTCGTCGTGTCAGCCGGGCGCCGTGACCCTCACGAGGCAGCCCTACCGCCACGTGGACAACGTGCTGCTGGAGCACGCGGCGCCCGTGGAGCGCTTCCTGTCCTACTGGCGCGCCACGGGCCACCAGCGCGTCGGCTTCCTGTACGGCCGCTACGAGCTGCACCCCGACGTGCCGCTGGGTGCGCCCTCTCTCCTCTCTGTAGTGAGTAGCTACCGCGCCGCCCCCGCCCGCCACTTACCTCTCCTCCCCGCAGGTATCCGCGCGCGCGTCGCCGCCGTGTACGAGCCGCCACAGGAGTGTAGCCGGGACGCTGTGCGCCTGGCGCCGGACGACCACGCCGCGCTCCTGGACCGCCTCGCCGCCCGCCTCGGCCTGGAACGTGTAGGCTGGATCTTCACCGACCTGCTGCCGTTGGATCTAGTCAGCGGCACCGTGCAGTGTCTGAGGTAACGACGCGCACACTCACACACACACACACACACAGACTCACACACACACACACACACACCACACACAGATTCACACACACACACACACCACACACAGACTCACACACACACACACACACACACACACACACACACACACACCACACACGCACTCACTCACACACACTCACACACAGACTCACACACACACACACCCTCACACACACACGACACACAGACTAACACACACACACACACACATACACACACATGCACGCACGCACAGACTCACACGCACACACACCACACACACACACCACACACACACACCACACACAGACTCACACACCACACACAGACTCACACACACACACGCGCGCGCGCTCTTTGTTCCACGTTCCTTGACCGTCCCGTTTCTCCCCAGGGGTGTGGACACACACTTCCTCTCCGCTCAGGAGTGCATCACGGCGGGACATTTCCAGAACGAGCATCCGAACGCGTGTAGGCACGCGTCCTCCGGATACTTTGGCTCCAAATTCGTGACGGTGTGCGTGACGGGTGAGTGTCGGCGTGAGGAGGGTGTGAGGGTGCGAGGAGGGTGACGAGGCTTGTTGGCTTGTTGCAGGCGACGCGGACAACCACATCCACCTGGAGGGCTACCAGGTGTCGGGTCAGTGCGCGGCGCTGGTGAGGGACGGCATCCTGCTGCCCACCAGGGACGCGCCCGAGCTGGGCTACATACGGGACTGCTCGCCGGAACAATACGTGCCGGATGTGTACTATAAGGTCGGTGGAGTACATAACTAAATATTTATATCATTACTAAATGTGTTGTTGATCACGACACCTGGTCACGGTCATCCATAATAGCTATATGTATACGGTGGTAAGTTTTTTGTCGTGTTTTTACTTGTCAGGAAATGGTTCCTATGACATATTTGTATTCTGTATGGTTATGAAGAGCTCTTAATTCTAAAGTAACTTTGATTAATTGTTTATGCTTTAATTACTAATATAAGGGTAAGAATATACGCTATTTGGTTTTTTCGTGTCCCAGAAGGAAATATTATCGGTTCCATTCAATATTTATAATTTATTTATTTTAAAATGAGTAATCACAGGGGCCAGACGATTATTCATTTTTTTTTCAGTGTTATAAGCACCAGAGGAAAATGTGTTATCAGAAGAGTGACACTGTTGCCAGAGTATAGTAACAAATCAAAGCAGGGTATTGTCATACCGTTGATTATTAGCTAAGAAAGTTAACTAGTAATTGTAATTGTATTATTCGTACTCTAAATTTTGTTAAAATATGTTTCGATGTTTATTACAACATTGATTAAAAAACATCATTGTGTAGTTTTTAAAGTATTCAGCCATAAGTTCATTTTAATTCTTAAATGGGAAGGTCAGAGGAGTATACATTTTAAAATATTATTAACAATATAAATATATTATAGTGAATAGTCTTTGTAGGTCAGATAAAATGCTATATTCTTTATTGTTTAAGCATGGAGAGACAATGATATAATAAGTTTTACATAAAATTTGTCTATAGACCAATGGAATTCAAATAGCGTATATTCACCCATAAATCAAAAATTAATTTCTTTGTCTAACCTCAAAACAAACACCCATTGACTTCCTGGTACTTAACAACGCCATCTGCTGTTGTGTCGTTAAAGCAATTAGCAAAAGTAGTATTACTATTCGCCAATAGATGTCAGGAACAGTCATATTTTCTAAAAGTGATTAATTGTTGGTGCGAATTCCGAAATTCCTAAATAATTCTTGTATATTTTGCTCATTTAAATATATAAGATATAAAGCTTCACGTACAGTGTACAGGTGCAGGTTATTTAAATAATGTTATTAATTTTTGTCATCCAGGAGAAGGACGCGTACGGCAACGAAGTAGGCGTGTCGGCGAAGAGGCTGCCGGTGGCCTACCTGCTGGTGGACGTGCCGGTGGGCGTGGCGCCCGCGGCCGGCCAGCCGACCTTCGACCCGCGCGCGACCTTCCCACCCGCGCACCGGCCCCTGCAGCAGCACGTGCAGTCCCTGGCCGCGCTGCACGCGCACCTCGAGCGCTCCGAGTCGTTCCTGGCCGCGGTGGCCGACCTGCACGTGCTGCTGTTCCTGGCCACCAACGACGCGGCGCCGCTCACCGTGGACCAGCTGGCGCCGCTGCTGGACGCCGTGCGGCGCCGCGACGCGCCCGCCGCCGAGGCCTGGCGCTCCACCCCCGCCGCCGCCGCGCTGCTGGCCCGAGCCGCCGCCGCCGCCGCGCCCGCTGCCGCTCCCGGCTCCCAGCTGTGGACCTGTCCTCTGTGCACGTTCCATAACGCCGCGCCGCTGGACGCCTGTGAGATGTGCGCGATGCCCAGGTCAGCCTCCCCCCTCCACATCACCTGTCTCTTTCTGTCTCACGTGACTCGTCTCTGTACATCTCTTTCTCTCGTGTTTCAGGAACGCCATGTAACGCGCCCGCCGTCGGTCGCCGGCCGCTCCTCGCCGACGGACTCTAGAAATTACTAGTTGCTAGCCGCTATTTGTTTTATATTATTTACTTGTAAGACATTAAATTAAATGATATTTTATGATTATGTTCATTGTGCGATCTCATCGCCGTCACCTTCTCTCTGTCTCCGCGTCCTTAATACTATGAAGGATTCTCATTTCTGACTCACATTCGTCAATCTCCTCATGAGACATTTTAAGACGATCTTTTTCACTTATAATCGGTCGCTTCATAAGGAACTGATTTGTTGTACAAATAAAACAAACATAACCAAGAGAACCAACGATGATGAGGGCAAGAGACTGTCATTGAACACGTTCGTCGACAGAGAACACTCACAGCTGATGATGTGCGGCGGAGTGATGTTAATATGATAAGGGGAGAGGAGGAGAAGAGAACTGGGACGTGAGAAACTACTAGAGACAGGTTCAGAGATGACGAGGAGGAAGAAAGAGAGACCCGCCCGGGGAGAGATAGGGGGGGAGGGAACGATTATAGATATTAGACAGTGAGGGGGAAAGAAAGGATTCACCTCTAGACATATGTACTGACTATTGTTTTAAAGTCCATATACATGTTCTATATACTATACTGTGACAACTGTTTTAAATAAACTTTTAGTGTGATGGAAGAGAAGAAATTTTTATATTTAGTCATCAGCTAATGTTAACTAGGAAAATAAATATTTTGGACTTGTACTTTCAATAATTTCTTCTGTGTTAACAAAAACACTTAATTATTTCTAATCATTTACAGAAATGAAATATTAATTTGATTTTTAAAACCAGACGAAGACGAATTCCACCGACGTTTATCCAAGAAAAATGATTTTTAAATAATAAGTTTTTTTAAATAATACCTCAAAAAATAGCCGTCTAAACTACATCATCTCTGTTTTTTAAGTTGTAATTTTTATAATCAAATTAGGAAAAAAAATAGAATGTACTATTTGCAACCCAAACACGATATAACTCTTCCTCTTATATATATATACCTTATCGGTTTGCTCGATGTCAGATTCTCGTGTGTACACCAAGCTTAGAGGTCACACAGATACAATAGGCCAGGGGAATAATAAAATGTTTCTTATCGTGTTTTTTACTTTTTTATGACCTCGACTCGAACTCAACAGAAATAATCCGCAAAAAAATCGCTCGACCCATCTCTGTGTGAGTCTCTATGTTTATTGTTCAGGTTCCTTCAGCTCTCATACTTTTTGTTTTAAAACAATGGAATGTAAAATTACTATTATGTGATTTAGAAAAAGTTGTTTCCTTTTAATATCGTTTCTTAATTTTTGAAGGATTCAAGTCAAATAGCTCCGAAAACTACCATGAATGGAATGAAACAATATAACAAAATCATTTCTAGGACTTGGAAATTTAGTTTCCCTCGATTATAACAGACCTCCACCCTCAGGATCCATACATGACGAGTGTGGTCGGGTTTATAATGATATAAATTGACTTTATTTTTAATAAGCTGTAACACTTGGGTTGTCAAATTAAGTACAAGTGTTGAAATTACGAATGTTTAATATAATTCTGCGACGACCCCTCACCCCTGCACGAGTTCCCGCTAGACTGACCAAAGTCTTGCAAATTAGGAATTAAAGCTTCCATTTTTCATTCGTCGATGTTCGCACGTGATGGTATCTACAGAGGTATACCTAAACGAACAACTGAAAGCGTTGTTTCTAGACGGAACCGAGGATGTATCTCTTGGAAACTCTTAGGTGTTTATAGAGCTCCGACGGCCTTTTTAGATTCATCCCAAAACTATTGCAACTCCTTAATAAAACCGATAACCATCCGTTAACGCAAGCCCGAACCATAACTTCAACATCTTTATGACGTCGCATCTAACTTTGACAAAAGGGTTTTATTAAAATCATAGACGAGGAAAGGCCAATTTAAGAGTGAAGTTAGGTAATTATCGTAGATCCAAGCTGTTTTGACGTTACCGATCTGTTGACTATCTGTCTTGTGAAGACCGCTTAAAAAACTAATTAGACTAATAAAGCCGTTATTGTACACTTGCAAAAGATTTACTTGTTTGAGAGGATTAAATGTTTAAAATGCCTACTTGCATAATCTTATCCTTAATAGAATAACACTATCATGTTTAATTATGTATCGAAATAGAACTTTCTCGTGTTCTCACACCAAGTTTGTTGCTGATCACCACATGCTGCTCGGAATTTAATTTGTTTTCAATCAAATAACCTTATCATTAGCCACTGTACGTTCTACATTTTCAACAGAGTTGTGATACTCTAAACTCGTATAATTTTAATCATGAAAATTTGACTTAAATTAAGTTTAATTTTGTTGTAACTTCTAGACGTGAAAAAATAATAGAGAAGACTGTCTTCTGTCCAAACAGTCCAGATCCAGTTTCAAAAATTTGGTGATAGTCCGGTCAAATTAGACATTCGAGGTTACATAAATTCCCACCAAGCTGAAAATCGGTACGATTGTTTGACATATCATTAAAAACAAAATTTGAAAGTTCCCCATCTTTCCCCTGTAAGGAAAAAGATTATTCAAGGTCAAAGGTAAACAAAATGAGTTTTTCGAGAATTTCAGCAAAACGGTAAGTTTTATCATAAAAATTTCTCAGACAAAAATTGTAGATCATAAAATTATCTACAAAGAATTACATAATTTATACTTTTTTTTCTACGAGACACCGTTTTTGAGATATAACGATTCAAAAAGTTGTAAAGGTTAAAATGATAATATCGTCACATGCAAACGTTTCCTCGCCACCTATGAGGTAGTGTACTTAGCGCGTTTTTTTTTGTGCTTTCCCCAGTAGACCTATTCCACGGATCAGTTTTGCTGAAAATCGCGAAAAACTCATTTTGTTTACCTTTGACCTTGAATACAATTTTTTCCTTACAGGGGAAAGATGGGGAACTCTCAAATGTTGTTTTTAAAGGTATTTCAAACAATTTTACCGATTTTCAGCTTGGTGGAAATTTATGTAACCTTACCGTTATTTTTTGGTCTAATTTGAACTGACTATGTACTAATAAGGGCAATGTCCATTTTTGGCCTAGCGTGAACAAGTTGCTATAAAAAAACAAGTTTATAAAAAAAATATATATTTTTAGCTAGCCATTCTATTGTTGTTTGAGTGTACATTTGTATTTTATTGAAAAAATATTTTTAAAGTATCTTCACTGATTTGCTATATTGATCCACGTCTTGTGTTACCAGCAAGATCAATTAACGATTGCGTCAAATCGAATCATCTCGCAGGACTTAATACAACTATAAGTATTTATTACAAAAAAAATTAAAAATATATGTTTTTAAGTAGTTTTGTCATTTAAAACGTTTTATAAACTGAAATATGAAGAATGTTAAACGTAATCATATCTCTTTCGATCGATTTTTTAATGATTTTTTTCTATTGCAACACTAATACAACAAAAAATACAAATTGACATTGATATGTCACAGACTGATTGTTTACATTTGCTTTGTTTACCTACATTGAGTGTGTTGATTTATTGTGGATTTTCTTTCAACGATTGTTTATTCATTATGGATTCCGACCTATCTTTTTCCAATGACCCCTGCACATCTACGGACCCCGAATTTCGCTCAAACGATGACCCTGGCTTTTGTATTATGGACTCCGATCATAGCATAAACGATGAACAACACTCACGTAATATGGACCCCGAAACTAGCTCCATCGCTAACCTCGGCTTGAATATGGACATTGAACAAAACCAAAGCGTGTCTCATGATAGTCTGCACACAGAAGAAGTGACTTCTTACCAATCCGTATCTCTGAGATGCATAAACTGTGGAACTGATTTGATAGAGCGAAGGCGACATAGTCTAGATCTTAATCAGGTTCAGTCTATTATAAGACAGTGGATAGCTCCTCGACGAGTAAGTGTCAATTCAATTAATTATTTAAATCACTTTTTTAATAGATATGTATTGTACATATATGCTATTCCTATAATGCAATATGAGGTTTTAATGTTTTATATAATTATAATCCTTATATACTCTTGTATTATAATAAATGAAAAGATATTCACTCCTAACACATTAGCTAAATAATTTAAATAGAAGGCGAGTAGATTTTCAAACTATAAATGTAAACATGGACAGTTTCATATTTCCAAGAATAGAATATAATGATCTTGTAAAAATTGCATGTGGAACATACCAACTAAAACAAGCTTGTTCGTATTATGGGCAGCACATAAGAGGCAATGGTTCCTATACTATAGAAGTATGTAGAAATATAGCCAGCGACCTATTGGTTGACTACCCGATTCCTTTGGCCAACTGCAGATTAAAAATACAAAGCAGATATGTAAGTCAAAAAATATATTTTATATATATATATATATATATATGATAATAATATTATATGATAATAATCACAATGGTAATGAAGTTTTAAAAGAAAATTATTGTAATTGTATGGTTGGCTGAAGGACAGTGGGTTGCTGCGCTCATATAATGATTATTTTATTGTTTTAAGTTGGGCAAGGTATCAGGAACACATTTCACCACCTGTCCAATTTCTTGAACACATATTAATAACATATGATGTCTCAGAATAAAAAGAAATCATAAAAAATGTTGTTTTATTTCGCTTTAACCTTCGTTTAGTTTTTCCTCATATGACAAAAATCTCTTTTTAAACATTTTGATACAAAATTAAGTAAGTGGACAATCTCCTTTATGAGGCATTTATAGTTGTAATCTAAAAAGAAAACTTACTTCCTATCAGGATCGTCTTAGTTATTTCAATTTTGCGACATTGTTCAATCGCAGAAAATTTATGGATTTAATATTTGTTACCAAAATTGTTACGAGATCTTTAAATGATCCCAATCTATTAAACAAAAAAATATTTTCGTATTCCTTCCAGACTGCAAGGTCATGTAATCTACATCTGTTCTGTCAGGCTAGACATTATACTAACCTTAAATTGTACAGTCCTCTATCAAGAATGTATTTTCTGAGTACCAGGATAGTATTGATTTAATTACTAAATTCATAAAATCAGTAAAAAATATAGTATTAAAATAGAAATTACCAATTCATTTTATTTACACTCTTTTTTGTTTGCTTATTTCACTTTTTGTTTCATTAAGTTTTATATACCTACCATATATTTCGTATACCTAGTATATTTATATCAGAAATAATGTTGTTCCGCTAAAAAGGTAATTCGTGCATGCTGTGTTCTCCTGTAAATAATTGTGACACTTAGTTTTAAGATTTATTCATTGAAAATTGTATTTATTTAGTGTACACATTGTTGGTGAACCAAATAAGTAAATAAACTAAATATCTGCCCTCTTCGTGTTCCTCATTTATATTTACAACTCGGCCATTTTTTTCAGTCATAATAATTCTTTCTTTATCATAACGATTCATTTGAAAAACAAAACCGAATCGATAAGGAAATAAAACATCGCAATTTAATTTAATAAAATTTATTATTTACAATATATTTTTAAAGCGACAGACGAGACGAATACCTATCAACTGCACATTATTGAAATTCAAATCGAATTAATATATTTAAAAAATACTCAACACGAAAATACATGCTTCTATAAACATTAATGTTATCGTATGTACTCTGTTGAGAGTGACGTCACACGGGTACAATCATGAACATTGAATCTTCAGTGATACATATGATATGTGAAGCCTCGTGTCACAGCTCACAGGTCGCCACAACGACGAGCGACCGCCGCTCTGTTATTTTTTGTTACATTGATTATTTTAATATTTTTTCTATACAGACGTGACACACACATCCATCGGCAGACCAAGAACACACACACAGCAACAGCACAGCCGAGCACAGGCACAGCCGGTCAGCCGGCCGACAAACCCAACTATCACAATTGATATTCTAACATTAAGATTACATTTTAATATTGTACAAGTACGTCTCGAGGGACGCACGACCATTACATAAATATATATATATATATATACAAAAGGATCCATCCGTCGGGCAGTGTTCGTGTTGAGTGTTCAGTTGTCGGCGGGGGGCGGCGCGTCGCCGGCCGGGGCTCTCATCGGCGGGAAGTGTTTGTGGTCGCGGAGGTCGAACGAGCCGCGCGGAGGAGAGCCGGCCAGCGCCGAGCCCAGCTCCAGGGCGCGCTCCGAGTCTGTACACGGGAACATGTTCACACACACACACACACACACACACGGCCGCTTGACGCTACACTACACAGTTTTCAGTTTCTGTATCTTTTTCCATTAAAATGATGTCTGTGAACTAATTCGATGTCAAAAACTGAAACCCGTGTATTTTTACATCGCGGGAGTCTGATGTCAGTCGTGTACACCACCTGAACCAACGACCGGACTCGCCGCCTCTACTATAAACATTCAATTCTCTCTTTCTTCTGACGTCAAACAACAAAACATTTACTATCTTCAAGAACTTCTTCACATTAAAATTATCGTCTCATTAAATTTGTTTTCCATCTGGACTAATGACTTACATGTGTACAATACAAGTCTAGACCTGAATGAATATGCGTTAGTCTAATTCATATTACTACGATTTTGATCACTTGAATGTGAAAAAGCACTTAAGATACGAAAAATTGTAGAATGATTGGCCGAGTTCTAGGAAGATGAACTTTCAAGTACTAAAGCTTATAACAACAATCTGTTTTTAATTATCATCTTATACAAAAAATTCCCAACGTTCAACGACAGCCGAAGCAAAAAGAAGGTTGTTGATGAGAGGCAACTAGTGTAAGACTATCAAATATAGAAAAATTAAACGAATATGTTTATCTTGAAGCTGATTTAAAGAAAATAGTGAAATGAAGAAATATATAACAAATATTGATAGGAATCAACGCTGTGAATATGGAGGCTCCAGATTCATTATGTGTGGTTGAATACTAACTCATAAAATATAAATAGGTATAATAAAACAATTTTTTAACAAAAACTAATTGTCTAGTTTTAAATTAAGAATGAAGTAAAAAATGTGAAAATAGCATCCACTTGAAAATCTAACAACATATAACATTACCTTACCTATAATATAAAACATTACATTACCTATAATATAAAACCTAAAAGAGACGCTATAGTCACTGAGTACGAGTCACGGACTTCGTTATTTTTTATAAAACTAACATATTTTAACAATGCAATATATAGTAAACGTTGACGTCCACAATAGGCTAGGCCTGTATCGTGGACATCGATTCATTTCAAGCAGACACGATTCAGTAAATTTTTGCAATTAGCAATTACAAAATAGTAATTTAATTAAATAGTAAATTACAATTTAAATAGTAAATTACAATTACACAGAGAGTGGTACTGTACTTAAAGTTCTTAACAATAAAAAAAAAATCTTTATGATATTACAACATTTTAAAAATTAATTATTTAAGGAAATTAAAAAAACAGATCAAACATTCGAAAATGTGAAGTGTAAAAGTTGTGAGAGTTTGTGTGTGTGTGTGTGTGTGTATATGTATGTATGTGTGTGTGTTTGTGTGTGTCTCTAAATATATCCAAAAACGAAAACAGGCTTTAACATTGCTATAATTTATTTTTTATTTTACTATTTTTATGACGTGTTCGGAGTCATCGTAAGACCAATTCATTAATAAAACTGTGGTTTTTATTTTTACTTCCCTGCATGAGAGGTTTCTGAGGTCGCAAACCTTATTAATTTTATTGTAAATATAGGGAAAGAGAAAAGGAGGAAATCGTGCTGCGAAAGGTTTTACTTCAAAACTTGGAGCCTTATATCTGCGGTTTGTTTTATTTTTGGGTACGGAGGAGTTTGATACAATTTTATGAGTGGCTAAGACGGCTTGCAAAATAAAAAGGCGTCGTACACTTAGGAGGTTGGCTTCTTTGTACAAGGTTGTTGTGGGGTGAACTTCTACTGTCACACCCACCCCCCGGCCAGGACGACGAGAGTTTTCAAACAAACGAGAGTTCATCTTCCTATTACAGCCCACAGAAATATTATATCAAATGAGTTTATACGAAAAACACATTCAACGTTCTACTTACAACCATGTTGGAACAATAGTTACGTTCGAGTGAGTGTGTACATGTGGTTAGTTTATGATGATGACACAGAGGCCGCTCAGTGCTCACGAACACAGACATTACTAACACAGGTGTTCATGAACACTGGCGGGAGGCGGCGGGCGGTGCGAGCGGCGCCCAGTGACTGTCGGACGGTCATCAGCTACGTCTCTTATAAATATAACACGAACAAACACATTGGTGTGGAGGTGAGGAGACAGAATGTATGACGGACTTACGACACGGACACATTACATAATATCAATTTGGATATGATTTTCAAAATTCTCGCCACATATTACTTATTTTAAAAACAATAATATTTAATAACAATGATAATAATCGATATTGTTTCAGAGCGTCCCCTTTGTTAATATTGACTTTCTTCTAATATATTTTTATGTGACCATCTTATCTTCAATGTTGTATTTTAAATCAAGGGACCCTGTCTCCTATGCATACTGTTCAATATCAACATGTTCTTCTCATTCAAAATTCAAACAATAATCCACCGTCCGTTCCTCAGTGTATTCCTTTGCCAATAGCCTATCTATATTTCTAACTGTCAACCTATCTATTTATTGGTCCCTTAGCCCATCTATATTTCTAATTGTCAACCTATCTATTTATTGGTCCCTTAGCCCATCTATATTTCTAATTGTAAACCTATCTATTTATTGGTCCCTTAGCCTATCTATATTTCTAATTGTCAACCTATCTATTTATTGGTCCATTAGCCTATCTATATATCTAGCTGTCAATCTATCTATACATTCTTCCACCAGTCTATCTATATATCCGACAGTCAGTGCATAAGTCTTTCCGTCCGACGAGATACGTACCCCTCGCAGCGAAGCCGCCTCAGTCTTGCTGCTCATCCGCCGTGGCCTCTAGTGAGCCAAAAATTACTAAAGTGAGAAGATTGTCTGCGCCAGAATGTTAGAAACGAGGCTCACTCGAATCGTGTGACAAAATATGAGTACTTACGATATCCGAGAACACATCAAATATAAAATATAAACAGCAAGCAGACGACCAGCCCCGAGCGATCGTGGGCATTGAGGGCTCACGAACGACGGGGCAGTGCGGGGCAAGCGCGGGGTCGTTGGACAGGGGGAGAGGGGCGGGGTCGAGGGTGACGGGGGGGAGGGGAGGCAGGCAAGCGTCCGGGCATATCGGTGATGTGGAATAAGGGCGAGTCACGGCCAGAGAGAGCGGCGGGCGGGGTGCGGGGTGCGGGCTCTAGCTACCTGTCATGTGGTCCGGGAGTCGTCCCCGTAGCGCGCCCGCGTACCTGCAGCCGGCCGGGGCTGCGGGGAAGCAGTCGTCAACGAGCGTCCGTCACCGCCGCACGTGTCCTGTACACACACGGCGACGGCGACGGACGCTCGCCTCATGTGGACGCTTTGGGGACTTATACATTTATACATAAACCATAAACATAGCTTACTTATACATTTAGATAAGTTATTTATTTTGGTGGATTTCATACATACTACTAATATGAATGAGTATAATAATTAAAGTATACATAGATACATAATTTGTTACCTACTATCGTTTGGTAAAGAAAACGGTTCAAAGATATTATATATGGAGGTTAGAAGGTTTTGACCGAGCAGATAATAAATATTTAAAGTATATATGTGCTGGAGAAACTACTGCGGAAATAGATAATTCCTTCTAGTGGTAGAAGTAAAATAAGGGAGGCTTATGATGAGGGAGCGACATCTATCATCGAGACGAGGGTCAGAGTACTAAAAGGAATCAAAAAATAATAATAAATACTTAGTGGGAGCGGCAGCTTCAAGGATCAGAAACAGAAACGAGAGGTGAGGGGAGGCGGGAGAGACGAGGAGACGCGCGTGTGCGCACGGCCGACACGACACGAGACGAGACGACACGTACCTTCAGGGAGGGAGGGCGCGCGGTCCAGCAGGCGGTGCGTGCGGAGCAGCGGACACTCGCCGCCCTCGGCCGCGTCCAGCCCGAACACGTACACGTCCCCGTCCGCCGTGGCCACCACCAGCCGCAGCGCGCGGGCCGAGCTCGTGACGGCGGCCACGGCGTGACGCGCGGCCCGAGGGAGGCGCGCCGCGGCGAACGCCCGGCCCTGGGTCAACACGTCCGTGAACTGCGGCGGCAGGTAGGTGACGCCGCGCGACACCGCCTGTGACAGCCAGTCCATCCAGCCGTCGGGCTGCGCGGCCGCGTCCTCGGCGGGCGGCGGCGGCGCGCCCTCCCGCAGCCGGAACACGTGCACCGTCTCCGTGTTGGAGGTGGCCGCCAGGTAGGCCCCGCACGCGCTGAACGCCAGGCACGCGATGGACACGCAGCGCTTCACGCCGCGCCGGAACTCGTACAGGCGCGTGCGCTCGGGCACCGCGAACACGCGGATCACCGTCCCTCGCTCGGAGGCGGTGGCGAGCCTCTTCCCGCACATGGACCAGGCCAGCGCGGCCAGCGGACTGTCGTGGGCTCCGATCACGCACTTGGCGTTCAGGTGGACGGCGTCGAAGATCTGCACCTCGCCCACCGCGCTCGAGCCGGGGTACGCCACCAGGCACCTCTCCACACAAGGGGACAGCGCGCACAGTCCGCGGGGGTTGGGGGGCGTGTCGCGGATCGTGTGGAGGATCTTCATGTCGCGGATGTTGTGGATGTGCAGCGACTCCTCCAGGCACACGATCAGCCTCTGTAACATTGGACATGAGTCACGTCATCGCCCACTCACTCTACACTGGACGGTGACCAAAGGACTCACGGATCTGTTCAGCTTGACGGCGAGTATGGTGTTGCTGTAGCTGTAGTTACATATCTCGGTGCCTTTCTTGTAGTGACATACTATTAACTTCCTGCAACATTGAACGTACTTATATTACTGTACTTGGTCGTTGATATTGTTGAATCGTATGTCAGAGGCTAGAGTGGGCTGTGTATCATTATTCGTATTGCTAGCGTGATGAATGCTATATCGCTGTTTTTCATATACATACTATGTCCTTATAAACGCCTTAATGTTACAGATAGACTTTGTTATTTTCTAAAGCGAGTAACATTCGCCTTAAGTTTAATTTCAATAAGTATTCTTTAAAACATAATTTTTATTTCATTGAATCATCTCTTTAACTATAACTATAGGTTTATTGTATACTAGCTTTTGCCGTGACTTCCGGCAGATTTTTGGTTCTTCCCACAAAGTTCCCGTTCTTTCGGGGTTTTCGGAATGGTTGAGTTCCCATAGAATTTTCAGGATATAACCTATGTTTTTTTTTATTCACAATGAAGTACTCTTAACCAACAACATATTTATTTGTTTATTTGAATAAAGATTAATATTATTATGTTGATACAACTTAAACAAATTATTTCGACCAAATTAGGTACCTTAAAAACGGTTTTTGTGAGTTCATCTTAAAAGATAGACATATATTGTCGCGAACTGTTTTTTAGATCATTAAAAGAGCTATTATTCTTTAAAACATATTTTTTGTGTATCTTGAACCGTTTTCACGGCGCACGCAAAGGAAGGCTTCAAAGATGAAATAATTTCTCCCGTTTTTTACACATTTACCACTATATCTTTGCTTCTATTGGTCGTAGTGTGATATTATATAGCCTACAGCCTTCCTCGATAACTGGACTATCCAACACAAAAAGAATTATTCAATTCGAACTAGTAGTTTCGGAGATTAGCACTTTCAAACAAACAAACAAGTGTAGTGTACAAGTTACTGGAGCGGACATCAGACGAGATACTATTGTGATAATTTCTGTGGAGTTTCGAAAAAGAAGTACATGTGGTATGAGGTGATGATAATAACAAGTCTGACGCAACGTGCAACGACATACGTCAAGTGTAGCGTCTGAAGAAACTGTGGTTCATAAAGTACATAACATTTTCAGAACTCAGAGACGAGTTTATTAATGATGAGTGATATAACATGGCTTTTTATATTATTTTGGTAACATACAAATTTAGTGATTGTTTCCTGCAACTAGCTGAAAAAACTTGTGTGAGCCGTGTCGTTGTGTGTTGTTTTTCTCATCGTAGGTCAGTCAACTAACATTACACACCAGTTAAATTTTGTTTTATTTCGTCGTCCTAGGTGGTGTATCAGTCGTTTCACAATAGGTGATACACATGTCTATCCATCAAAAGAAACAGTTCTCATGGGCAGCTAACCGCTGGATGTGTGTCTGAGATCTTTACTACGCGTGTCGTTACTGTATATTGATTGTCGAGTTCACCACTTGTTTCGAAAGGCTTTCAAACATACTGAACGTCGATTAAATAAATTGAAATTAAATTAGAATTAATATTAAAAAGAACTATCACTCTGTATCGGTGAGTTAGACACAGATAAAGTTCACCCGCCCGCGCCGATACAAACAACAGGTCGTTATCCCAATTTTTTTAAACAACAATATAATAGGTTGTGATAAACTAACACCGACACGATCCCTGAACCTAACTTATAATTTGTTCAGGTCAACGTGCAAACATATCGAAACAAAAGCTCAATTGGTAACTCCAACAGCTGAGTATACCTACACTGTTAGAGTATTGATTCGTTTATGTGGAGTGTGGAGTAACGCTAAATATGTAAATAATGAAATTTTTATCAAAACTATTTACAGTACATACTAATTGAATCGTATTAATATTATTATATGAGGTCCAAGGTGACGGTCTAACAAATAGTAGAGAGCTCGTCGACGCGAGTATTAGAGGTCGCGACACGCGCGGCATACTAACGACGCCTCCACCGTGAGGTAGTGACAACACGCACCTGGGGGCGGACACTGTGACGACGGCCACCAGCGAGCTGCTGAACAGTCGGTCCACGAAGCACGTGTCGAGCCCCGAGCGGCTCGCGTAGATCTCCTCCACGCCATCGTCGGGAGTGAGCGCGAACAGGTGGTAGCCGCTGCTGCTGCCCGCCACCAACGACCTGCAAACATAGCCACTACACTCACACTACTGCTTCTGACACAAAGACGCTCATGTTCAAGGCACTTCCTTTCCTGTGTGTTCAAATCCTTGATACTATCTTTATTTGTCCTATGTGCCATTTAAAATAGAAACATATATTTTTAGTGTGCGACATGCAGTTGTAGATTCTAAATATTTTACAATGGTCAATATAACCCCATGGTTATTGACTGCCACGGCCACACTTTCTTATGTAACTTTTTTATGTAGTACAAGTTATTTTAATAAACAATATAATATATGATAGGTGTTAATCTCACAAAGCATTTATACAAAACATCAGAAAATAAAATAACATAAGGAGGTGCTGATGGTTAAATCAATTTGATTTGAATAAACTAATAAAACCTAAAGAGTAGAACTAAAAAGTAATAAAACTGTCCAAAACAGTCAGAAGGAGGTAACAGAGGGAGATATTAACAGGTAGATCATATAAAAAATGTATAAACTGAAACATCACACACACACACACAATGACAACCACATTATATTGTGTAAAAAAGACTTTTGCCATTTACATACACACTTATCATTATTTATTTTAGTTGTGACAGTGTATCAAAATGTATTATTTTTTCTATTAACTAAAATTATTTATATAACTCATACCTAAAAATAAAAAAAATATTACCATTCTATAAAAGATATATTAAAATAGGACAACTGAGAATGTTATATAAATGTAAAAAAATTTACTAAAACACAATGCAAATGAAAGAATTAGATGTACAAATCAAAACAAAAATCAGCTGTTCACAAAGAACAACACTATCAGAGGATGACTAACACTGTAGACTGTAGTTTTGCAACACTGACACTTCATATGTAAAAACTAATAGTAATAACATTTACGTATTCTTTAAAATCTCTTTATTTACCTCTTGTTATGACAAAAATTGTTTGTTTACAACTGAGGCCAGTTTCTCGTTGCGAAAAAGCTGGCATTGACAGATTGCATCATAGCACAGTAACAGCAATTGCGTTTGATTGTTGAGAGAGGCGCTGAGGCACATGACCCCGGGCCCCAGATCTCAACGATAGCTATGCTATGAGCAGCAACCTTGATCCTCAAAGAACTCACAGCTGGACTTAATGTTTCGACTGTGGTGACGTATTTACAAGCCCTTCCATATCAACGTACTATAGTTTCATCGCCTTTTCGTTATCGTTAAATAATTTAAATCATTCAACTTACGTGCAGTCCTGGTTGAATTGTACAAATATTCCTCCTGCATTTGATCCCTCTGTGCTGTGACCTCCTCCCAAACTCATTGGAGCGTTCAAAATGACGAGTTATGTTAATTACTTATTTTAACTAGAGTCATACGCAAACTACGACCTTTGTTATTGAGCACAAACAGTCACTCACTTGTTTTAATAACAAAATTCAAGTATTCGTCAGAAGAACAATTTTTTGACACAAAGAACGACCTTGCTTACTGCTAAAAACAAGCCCCCTCCCGCACGACTCAAATCATTCGTTCGCTAATCGCTATATCAATGGACGACTTTCAATACAGTTCAATTTTCCGCAATTGACATATAGGTGGCAGGAGAATCGTACATTTTTTTTATTTTTTTTAATATAATTATTTTATGGATTAATAGTTCAGTATTTATACATAATAATTATATGAAACATTTTGGTTATAGAATAATTAAAATTATTGTGTAATATTTAATATTAAATATTAATATGGTCATATAATGAATGAATATTAAAATGTATAAAGTAACTCGTATTAATCACAATACTTTGATTTATTATAAACAGTTTACCCGCTACATTTTTTCTTAACGGATCACTGTTACTGTGTAATATGACAGTTGATTTTCTGAGTTTTGTCAAATGTCTACGAAAGACGTAACAACAAACATAAAACACGCGTGACAGTTGTGTTTATGTGTAACCCTTAATTAATTTATTATTTAAATGTGTTATTCTTTTAGCACATTATAAAAAATGGGACGGAAAATCCCTGCTAAAAAACACCGAGGAGTTAAAGATCCTTTAATACAGCAAGCTAGACGATTACAAAGGTTAGTAAATTTCTATTAAATTAATTTCATGAACCTTTGATACTTCATAGAAACCTTTTTGTTTTAATGTTAAATTTGTTTATGTAAAAACATATAGTTTTTGGTTGTAATTTTAGTTTAAAAGGCAAAATCAACGCTCCTCCCAAGGATCCCGATGAACAACCGGTGCCCCGCTCACTCACGGAACTATTCGCGTTTCAAAATAAAGACCAAGATGTAGTAAAAAAAAAGAAAAAGCACAATAGTTCTACAAGTATGTCTTATTTGATTAATTGACAAGAATTGTTTGATTTATTTGATAAGAATTGTTTGTTTAACTTGTGATTTCTACAGATGCATCAGCAAAAACAAGTGCAGGAAGAAATCCCATCTCCAAACTGAAACAGTTGCCGGGTGAGACAGGTCGGGGGTTCTCTCTTCGTATCAACAGTGCCATCCGTGCTCTGAATGAACCAACAGAACACTTGGACTACCCTGTAAGTGTTATATTTGAGTTTCAACATGAGACGGTTGGAGATGGAGGAGAGAGTTTATGTAGTTATTAAGGAGTCTTGTTAACCAAATGTGTTCATGATCCAAATTAATATTTTTATTTTCCCATATATTTAATTCATGATATTTGTGGTTGTATTGGAATTTTGAAACATTTAAGTATTCGTCATGTTTTTTTAATTATAAATTTCAATTTGTGCCCAATGTTTTAAGTGCAGAATATTTTTTCTTCATACCATCAAAACTATTAGTTTTCCTCATAGTATGAAAATTTTTATTCAAGAAATATTTCTGTTTTTGATTATCAAAGTTAATCAAAGAATTGTGAATGAGAAAGTAACTCAAGTATAATGGACCATTATATCAGAAGTTACAAAAATGCCAGAAGTGGATGAACTGACTACATGGATCTTATTATGACAACCAGTAAAGACAGACAACTAAATGAAAATCAATTGTTGATTAATGTATTGTGTTATACATTCAATCCTTTACTGTACTTGGTTGTAATGTGTTTACAGATGTTACAGGAGGAGGACCGCGAGGACGGCAGAGGAGCGCTCATGGAAAACTGGAGAGAGAGAAGGAGACAGAAGAAGGAGAAGAGAGTTGGAGAACAGCAGCAGGAGCCGAGACTGGGCCGGGTACAGAGACTTGCGGCGAAGAAACAGGAACAGAAGAAGGCTAAGGAGGTGCAATGACTAGGAATATGTGTGGACGACTCACGGCGGTGACTGGGGGAGTGAAGACATTCATGTACTGTTCATGGTTATAGGAGGCGGCCCGGCCGGAGCTGGTGTATGAACGAGTGACGTTCGGGGAAGTGACGCACGCACCGCCTGCCCTGCCGCCGCCCAGACACGGGAAGACGACGGACGGAGCACAGAGACCCGGCAGACGACAACTACTACTGACAGGGATACTGACGGGCGGAGGGGGAGGGGCTGGGGGAGGGGCGGAGATAAGGGAGAAGGAGAGGAGGGAGCGGGCGAGACTGGACGTGGTGGCCGCGTACAGGAGCATCAAGAAACAGAGGAGACTGGAGGAGAAGGAGACGCGGACACGAGGCAGGAAGAGAGACACGTGAAGATACATACAATGAATATAGTGTTATAATAAAAGTGTACACACATAGATATGGGAGTTTAGTGATTTGTTCACTTCAAGGGACGCTGTATTTAGTATGATGTAGTTAAAAAGGAGCTTGTTTCATAAATTTCTCGATTATCTTATGGTGCGTATAAACTATAGCATACTGTGTTAGCTGGTAGTGGCAGCCATAGACCAGATAAACCTACATCGATATATTCTGACTAATAGATACTCATTTATTTATAATTTAATTTAATTAATGATTTGATAAAATACCTTTTATTATTACCGCTACCAGCGCCGCCTCCTCGCCAGGGCGGCCGTCATCTGAACCTCTCGGTTCTTCTTCTCTACAGTGTCCACTAACACACGCGGCACGTCACACCTCCTGCTGTATATGTATAACATTAGTATGTGTTGACTGTTGAGGGGTGCAGGTTGTAGCTCGTCGCCGCTCTCAACACGATTCTTTTAAGAAGTCGTTTAAGTTAGTTGATTGTGAAGGCACTATTAATTCTATCTGTTATAGTGTTTAAGGTTAATTTTTGGTATTTTATTTTTATTATTATTCTGAGTCCGTCGAATGGCTTGTATCTTTATTAACGAATCATGGAAAATCATAGATTCCACACTGAGCTCTATGCTGGTGTTGTATTTGTTGGTGAGGTGAGGTGAGGTTTGATTATACGTACTGCCTCCTTTAACCAAATCCCCGCTCACGTCGTTAGTTGTTGGTGTTTATTGTTTAATATATCGCGTGCTCGACAATTTCAAAATATAAATTGATCGCAGTCACATATATAGAAAAATAAGTAATGATCATAATTTGCACCCTTGGAAAGAGGAAAACTATAATCCGGAAGGAATTTTGTCTAACGGGTGAGGTCTCAAATCAGGGTTAATGCTGCATCAGATATTATCAGACTTATTTATATACTTTTATTTACGAAATACGAATGTTTCCAGGCCTTTAAAATGACATTTGATGCACGATTTGGTAAAATTGTTTAAATTTATCAACGTAAAACTAATATTTTCGATCGTCAGCTGCTAGCCGCTAGCGCTTCCCAGCCAGAGCGACGGTAAGCAAAACTACTCAGTGCATATTTTCCATAAAAATAATAATCGCAAGGACGATGTACACATCTTGTGTTTAACACTTTTTTAATATTTTATTAGTTTCATATTAAAATAATAATAATAAATGTATCATAATAAAACCGAACTGGTTGCTTATTAAGATATGGTTATCCTCCAAGTATGCAATCAGTCGTTTATTTACGATTTTCTCCATTATCTTTGAAAAGGCGGGTAGAAGGGATATGGGTCTGTTTGTGGGCACCTGAGAGTGTCCTCCTTTATATATCACGAAGTGGGTATTGTACCAGTTGAAAGACTACAGTTTAATAGGTACGTTAGCGGTTCCAGAATTTGGCTTTTAATAGTTTTGATATGCCGTCTAGTCCAGGTGCACAATTTTTTTTAGGTTCGCAATTATTGCTCCAACCTCTTGACAATCTGTTGGTCTCATGAAAAAGGACTTGAGAGGAGCAGAGCTGGATTTAATTTTTGAAACAAGTATTTCTTCGGTATTGCTTGTATTAGCTAAAGTATTTTCAGCCAATGTCCTCCCCACAGATACAAAGAATTCATTACAAAAATCAGTAGATTCCAAAGGAAAAGATTTAGAGTTTAATAAATCGTTAGATGTTGTAGTTCTAGTATCAGCCTGATGAGTAATGTGGTTAATTGCACGTCATAGTTCTTTTGGTTTATTTAAGTTTATGTTAAGAAGGTCTGTCTCATATTTATTTTTCAGTGTCCTAATTAATTTAAGGTAGAAATTTCGATACCGGGAGTAAGTAGTTTTCTTAACTGCGTCATTTGGTGATTTTCTGCTCTCCATGTGTAGCTTATCCCTTACCTTGACGCATCGCAATAAGCCCGTATCGTACGTATATAGGTATATATCGTACGTATACAGGGTGACTGGTGAATTACTATCAATATTTAAGGAGCATACTCGGTACATGATTCTCATTCGAATTGTGTAAAAAAAAATAGGTACTTAATTTTTGACCAAATTTCCGTATAAATAAATAAAGTGTGGACACGTTCCAAGTGTTCCAAGTGTGGACGCGTGAGGCACCGTGCTGATACAACACCACGCCCCGCTCGCGTATGTGTGTGTGTGAGTGTATACCTAATCTGTAGGGTGTTCACACGATGCGTAATTAATTACATAACTTTTGGTTAACTTTACTCAGAAGTTTAGTAATATTTATGTTATATTAATTTTTATTTTGTCATATATGATCGTCAAATATCACGTCCTCAAATATCGATAGTAATTCACCAGTCACCCTGTATATTGTACGTACGTATATATCGTACCCGAGGGTCATCCAGGGTTTTAGTATAACTTTACTACGGCTAAGTTTCACGATTTTAGTATTATTTTGGATTATGGTTTTTATCGTGTTAACAAATATTTCTGTTTGGTCTGATGTTAGTGATAGACATCAGGCTTGACCAGTTTCATAGTTCCAATTCTTGGATGATTCTTTCAAAATTCGTCACCGTTTTTGTTCTTCCTTTTTCGGTCGTCTTTTTATTGTTATTGTTTGCAATTCCAGTTATTACCATATCGTGATCGGCCACTGTAGTAGGAAACACAATAGTTTCAGGTCTATATAAGTATTTCTGATTTAAACAAATAAAATAAGCAGTAATGAATGCATTTTTTTTTTGCAAAATTTGGATAAAATTGGCAACATTACAATTAAAATACATATAATATATAAAAAAATACATATATATATATATATATATTATTTATTTTTCTTGCTCTTCAACGCTTTGGTTGGTGATACTGAGGCCGGAGAGCTTGAATTTGAGGTGTAAATTCTGTAGAATAAAGTCGCTGCTACAACCATAAGTATGGCTGGTGATAGCAGTGTATTCAACGCGGTTTTCAAACGGCGTTCCACAAATGAGGTACGACTTGTCTCCATTCTTTGGTTTCTGTGTGCAGTGGAAATCGAAATACTTCTCGTCGTAATTATTAGCGTAAAATAGCTTTTAACGGCTGCATTTCGTGCGACGAAGGCTGTGAGACACGTAAGTTTTTTCTTTTCATTGTCTTCTGTAATAGTAGAATGTGGTTGGTAGAATTTTCTTTCTAGGTTCTGATTCCATGAGTTTCCGGTTTCTATGAGTTGTGTAATGTTATTCACATCCCTTTTTTTTCTTCTGATACTTGATGAAGTTTGGGTCCGTCTTTTATTGCTCATGTCTTAGTGTAGCGTCTCATTGGTTGGTTTTGATATTTCCAGACTTATTGTTTGTTGATAGGTATTGTCACCGTTTTTTGATATTGTCACGCTTGTTAATATTGTGTGTCTTTATCAATTGTTGATATTAACGTTTGTTGTACACTTATCTTAAACATTGCAATGTATGTTTCACGTAAAACCGTTTAACTTAAAAAGTCTTTTACCTATTTTTATTTTCTAGTTTTTAGTTTTTATTTCGCATTCTGTTTATTTCATTTGTGTTTCATTATGGCAAGGTTTCTTGCCCGTTAGTTTATTGCAGTCCAACTCCTCTAAAAAATTGTTATCAACCATTTGGTAGCGGAGGCCATCTTAGATTTCAATTTTACATAGTAAATTGTATTCTACTTGTTGAGACCTTTCATTTGATACCCATGTTGATGGGATTGATAAAACCTAAGTTATCCGCCATTATGTAGATTTCTTTTTCTATCATATTTCTTTTATAATAGTGAAATGATGATAATAAAAACAGACAGCTCTTGAGCACAGCATATAAAAACATCTTGGCAGAAACAGTAAACATTTTTATAAAGTTGAACTGTATAAAGTTGCAATCTTCGCTATGTCATTCTTTATTCAACACTTATTAGCCAGGGTCTGCCTTACATGTATTATTTTTTACCAACAACGCATGCTGGTCAACCTCGAAGCGTTTAAAAGCGACTCAAATTAGAAACATTATCTATATTTGAGCTAGTTATCCTGACCGTTAGGCTCCCGGTACCAGACCGTTTATATACCTATAGTGGTGCAACGTTTTAAGGTAAAATCAATTTATTTTGTAGGATATAATTATCATAATGAATCCGTTAACTTCACTGCTAGGAGATAATAATTCACAAGTATTTGTTAAAAACAGCTCACGAATGAAAGATCAACATATAATGTACAAAGTAACTTTCAACTAAAATATAGGGTGTCTCACGGAAAATTTCGAATTTAAAAAGGCTATAAAAAAAGAACGACTCGATAGATTTCAATGATCAAACATTTATTTGAAAGCATAATTCATGACATTATTTGTGAAAAATTATCTCGGTCAAATGTCCACCACAGCTTACTTGGCAGTACCCTATTCGATCAGTCCAATTTTTCAGTACATTTTCAATTGTTTCCGGCCTTATGGCAGCAATGGCAACTTCAATTTCATGTTTCAAGTCATCAATCGTGCTTGGCTTGTTGGCGTAATAAACGTCTTTGACCGCTCCCCAAAGGTAATAATCCAATGGTGTTAAATCGCAGCTTCTTGGAGGCCAATTCACATCACCATTTTTGCTGATTATGCGATTTTCGAAGATTGGGCGCAAAACATCGACCGTAGCATGGGCTGTATGGCACGTAGCCCCGTCCTGTTGAAACCAAATATCGTCCAAATCATACTCTTCCATTTGACCGAAAAACCAATCAGTTAACATAGCGCGGTAGCGCTCGCCGTTGACGGTTACGGCGGCTCCTTCATCATTTCAAAAAAAAAAATGGGCCGATGATGCCGCCGGACCAAAATCCGCACCAAACAGTCACTCGTTGTGGATGTATCGGTTTCTCCTCAACGACGTGCGGGTTTTCTGTGCCCCATATACGGCAGTTTTGTTTATTTACATAACCGCCGAGGTGAAAATGAGCCTCGTCGGAAAAGATGATTTTTCGATAAAACTCACCATCTTCGGCCAAACGATCTTCCGCCCAATTTGCGAACCGTAGACGTTTCGGATGATCAATTGGCTTCAGCTGTTGGGCCAACTGAACTTTATATGGCTTCAGGGCAAGATCTTTGCGCAAAATTCGGTGCGTAGTTGACCGAGAAAGGTGCAACTCTTGCGCTCGATGACGAATCGATGTGGATGGCCGTTCACGAACACTTTGTTCCACCGCAGCGATGTTTTCGGTTGACCTTGCTGGAAATGGACGTTTACGTGTTGTTTTATCCAACAGTGATCCAGTTTCGCGCACACGATTCACAAATTGCCGCACATATGCCTCCGATGGCAAATCTTTTTTGGCAAATATTTTTTTCAAATTTCGCACAGTTTGCGTTGGCGATTCACCACTTTGGAAATAATTTTTTAATATTTCCCAGCTTTCCTCAAGCGAATAGCGACCCATTTCGTAAATGTCAGACTTATTACTAAATATGTGACACTTCTCCGATGACAGTTGACGTCTCCAATGTCAAATTATCGTTAGTTCAAATTCGAAACGCTAGATGGGACACCCGTTACATTGATGAGTTTATCACTTTTTTGTATCTTTTAAGAGTATTAACTTTTAGAATCATTAGACAGTGTCTGTGGTCCCATGCTTAACGTCCCTTTAAGTTCGATTTTATTATGATTTGTCTTCTGGACGGTATTTCATAATGTAACTTTCGTAATAAAAATTTGAGCCAGGTCCAAAGTTACATAAGTACCTCTTCAGGATTACAGTCCTGACTTAGTTATAGTATCACAGGCTGAGTCGCATCCTGGCAATACATAGTCAGTATTAATTAATCGTGGCGTCTAGTATTGCAATGTATGTAAACCCTTAACTTGCCTTAGCAATCATTGAAATGTGGTTTGCCGTCCGACTTCCTAATAAACCTCAAAAAATTATAGGTACTAAAAACAGATGTTGAGTAGTTATTTAAACGGGAAAAACTATTATTAGATTTGTAAACTGTTAAAACAGAAAAAGAACAACTAAACAAGGAAGAAAAAGATATTCAAGAAATGAAGGCAAAAAATAAAAAAATGAAGTATCGTGGCTTGCGCCTGCTGTGAGACATGAGACGCAGGTCGTAATGCAGTGTTTAAGAATACGTAGGGGCTGTATTTAAGAACTATGTTCTGACATCGAAAATAATTGTTTTAGTTTTAATCATTTTCAATGTTATTTATTGCAGTCATTTTCTTTTATTAATTGGTACATTTTGTCTAAATTATACAGCGATTATATTGTAATGTTTAGTTGTTCAAATTTCAAACTATCTGATTATTTTTAAAAACATTCAGAGTTTGATATGTTTATGTATGTTCGTGGCGGAGGGTCTGTATCCACACTACCCATTACTGTTTCAGGATGTTGATACTTTTTATATTTTTTAAACATATCGTCATCAACACTGATCAATGATTCAGATTAAAGAATTCAGGAAACTCAATCAAACAGTGTTCTGTAAAGTTATAGAGTTGGATTGGTTTTATAATGTAAAGACGTTGTTCATTTTGATGAATTTTAGAGAATTAAAGTTTTTATATAATTGACAACATTTTCTTAGTATTCATTAATTTTGTTTTGTTTAGATCTCGTTTATCTTATATTTTTTATATTTTCAATGAACCAAGGAGAGGGAAGGTTTTATGTTTAATATATTTTATTTAATTGAAGAATGAATATAACTGAGGTCCAAATATTTCTATTAAAACAATGCCAGCCTTTTTTTGTAAAACTATGTACTTAAGTACTGGTATTTAAATTTCCAATCTTAATACAATTTTGTAAATAAAGTTTTTTAGTGCGTAGGTTGTACTTTTGTTTTGATTAATTAATAAAATAATAAATAAGAACCAAAATTATAGTGTTGTACTTTTTTAATTATTCGATAATGCTATTAGTCGATATTTTAATAGAGAACAAGAGATGAGTAAGTTACGGCTTTAAACCAAACGACAGATTTAAAACCCATCGCACTAAAACATACAATTTGAAAAAACAGAAATACAAGAGTGAGTGAATAGTTACATCAATAAAAAAATATTTATGTTGTCTGTTTTTCAATAACCTATACCTAACTTAAGTTCTCTTTCTCGTTAAGATATTTTCTCCTGACTAATTTCCAATGAGAGGTCCCTGGAATTTTATGTAAAACCTGTGATACTGAAATGAAAGTAATCATTCAGAATTAGGAAAGATAACTGAATCAGTCAAATGTGTGCAGAAGAACGTCCTGAAAAATGTGAAAAATAAGAGTTTCTAATAGAGTGATGATGAGATGAAGGATTATACAAAATATAATAAATTTTAAGTACAACAGCAACGTTTATGTGTCTTTACACAAAGGAAGGTTAATGTCTTTTATATATATTAAGGTTAACATCCCTTCATGACTTACACTTTGTTTATGGAATTTTATCTCCAGTGAATCAACTCGAAATTATTCTACTTTATCATGGTATTACTGTAATTTAATTGTTATTTTACAATATTACATTAATTTGTCTAAAATCAAATTTAATTGTTTCTAAACTTGATTGATTTGGTATTCTTTTTTAATTTTAGATATGTAATATAATTATATTAATATGCCATTAAAAGATATCTCAACAAATATTAAAAAGTCTAAACGATTGAGAGTTACATCTGAATTACCTTAAGAATGACACCAAACATTCGATATATTATTTACAGATCTGTCTTAATTATCATCGAGATGATTAATATTACAGGTGATCACTTACAATCAGGACTTAATACACAACGCCTGGATTAATACTGTTTGTGTAGGAATAATATAATCACGGTTAGAACAATACACAGAGCGTAAATGAATTTAATTCTTTTTAATTCAAGTTGACGCGGGCCTACCTGATGGAAGGTCACCGTCGCCCGTGGAGATCTACAACACAAAGGATGTTGTAGATCCGTTGACGACCATGATTGTGGGAGAGGGAGACGAAAGGGTGGGCAAAGGGAAGGGCAATCGGCTCTCTCAATTATGGGGCGAAATGCAGCCGCAGTAGAATATCCAAAAATCTTAGTTTTATTTAAATTCTATGAGTATCCAGAAACTATTTCCATATTTGGGCCTGTGCCTGAGTCCGATTTGGTTGATGTTAATCAAATTTTGGTCATCAAGTTGCCTTTTTTGCATGTCTCCTAACTAAATCATAGTGGTATTCGTATTTGGCAGCAGAATTAACACTCCTATTTACACACGATTTTCCTAGTCGCTTGGAACCTAACGGAAAGCCTTTGTT